GAATTCAACTATGAGAAATTAATTATTTAAATACAATAATTTTTGTAAATTCATAAAATAATGTATTTTCAAAAATACATTTATAGATAATTTGTAAAGATGAAAAAACAAAATTCTTTAAAATATAAAATTTATTTTATAATAAAATTTTACAAAATTTCCAATTGTTTCAATTTTCTAGAAATTATTTTCGAAAATTCAAATTAAATCTTTCAAATTTTAATCATTTTTGTAAAATAAATACAGCATACACGGAAAGAAAATTATATTAAATTTTGTAAAAGTGCTTCTCACTTTACGGAAAAAATGCGACAAGGCAAAATTTTGGTATCAAAAATACTAAACAGTGAAAGGAATAATATGAAATTTAGTGTAATAATATCAAATATCAAGAATTTTAATCTAACTTTACTAAATTTCAAATTATTTCTTTCACTGTTTAGTATTTTTTAAACCAAAATTTCGGTTTGGTGCACTGTTTCCCTAAACTGTAAAAACTTTTACAAAATATATATATGATATGTGTTAATATATGTAATGAATTTTCTCTCCGTGTACAATTTTCAAGATTTGAATTTAAAAACTTTTTGAAATTTAATTATTTCTAAAGTTTTAACTAAAATTATTTTTTAAATCAATTCTTATCAAAATTCAATTACGAGAATTCAATTATTTAGATACCTAAAAAAAAAATGATTCATAAAAATAAAATAATTGATTATTTTTAAAAATTGCAACTGTATCTCTATTTAGTTTTTGAAATTTGCGATAAATTTTCTTACTTCACTTATTTTATTATTTAAAAATTAACTGTCAAATTTTTTACATAACAATTCGAACTATAAAACAAAAAATTGGAATCAAAAAACACTAATTCCTCGTGAGGACAGATTATCTCTATTATTATTATTATGTAATAATAATAATCTATATTATAAATAAATAATCGTTGTATTCCGGTAATCTGTTCGCAGGTTTGAAGTTAATTGTTGTTTGCTTTTTTGTTTCCTAACTTTTTCAATCATTTTTCTTTTTTATTTTCAATTTTAAAATGAATATATTAAAAATCATTGACTTCTTGCAAAGAATTTTATGCAAAAAATTAAGAATAATTGAATTCCTTGGAAGATTTTTATTATTTATGAAAATAATTGAATTCTCTCAAAGAATTTTATTAAAACTTTTAAAAATCCTATAATTAAATTCTTTTGAAGAATTTCTTTTAATTTTTTCAAAATAATGAAGTTTCTTTAATACTTTTAATTACAAATTTTTAAAGTAATTGAATATTATATGAAGAATTTCTTTCAAGTTTTTAAAATAATCGTGTTTCTTAATAATTTAAATTAAACATTTTTAATTATTGAATTTTATTAAAATTTTAGAAAATAATTGAATTCTATTGAAATTTTTTATAACGAATTAAGAAAAAAATTGAATTATTTCGTGAAATTGTTTTGAATATAAATAAATTTTCGCAAAAATTTTTTGGGAACGGTGGTCGTGACGTCACAAACCAATATGGCCGGCGAGATCGGTCTGTTTTAATGACAGATGTAAAGTAAACACGTGTAATTTTGATTGAAAATCAAAAAATGCAGCTTTTTTGAACAGAAATATTGGTTTTCACCAATTCGACACATTTAAGTCGAATTTTATAGAGGGTGAAAGGTTATAAAAAATGCCGGACATGTTACCTTTTGTAGAAAACTGCAAATGGAAAAATCAAAATCAACCAAAAGTTCATTGCATTCTGTTTGCAAACATCGAATATGCGTGATAATCGAATAATGTTTGAATCTTCATTATTCCCAAAATATTCAATAAAAACTGATTTCGATTTTACAGGAACAAAAAGAAACTTTTAATGCTTTTAATCAAGATAAAACTATCGTCAACATAACCTATAAAATTCTTGAGAGCGCATCACAAATAGTAATTCTGTAACAATTTAAAGCCTTAATTATATTTAAGCAGATTTAATACAATTTTTAATAACTTCCCTGCTTCAGTAAAAAAGAATAATCATCTTTTGTGAAATGCGACTCCTTTATGCCCAATTTATTTTCGAAATTGACCATTAATTCTCCAGCTCTTGGAAATCTTTGACCAAGTTGAACTTTAAAACATTGACCAACGAAAAAAAATATTCGCTAAATAATTTAATTATAGATAAAGCAACAATATTGCCACAAAATATTTAGAAAAAAATTTATGTTTATGTTTTGATGATATTATTTTACAATTTTACGAATACAGCACTTTCTACTGCTGCACCCAAAAACTGAGCAAAAATTATTGGTTTTTGATGTTTTGGGAGTAAATCTTACTCCGACGAAATTCGATTTAATTTCTTCAATTTATTATTTACTTTTTATGAAGTTCTTTCTATTTTAAACCTAAAATATAAAACGATTTAATATGTTATTTACATCTGTCACGTGTATTTTCCCTTAAACCAGACCGATCTCTCTAGTTCCAATTTTCACCACCAGATGGCGTATCGCAGTTTAGCCGTTCCCAATAAAAATAATTGAATTCTTACGAAGAATTATTTATGAAAATAATTGAATTCTTGCAAAGAAAATTTATTAAAATTTTTGAAAATAATTAGGGTCATTTGGGGTAAATGTAAACAGTAGATGTTTCAGCTAAATTTACAAATTAAAAAATAAGTACGACGTCAATATTTTTACCTCAGCTCACCTACAAGATGTTCTGAGTATTGCCAATATTTTATTTTGACAATTGGCAATGCCATAGTGTAAGTTATCTTTTAATGCAAAAAAGATTGAAAATCAAAATTTTACTGTTTCAGTATTTTGTCTCGCATTTGCATAAAAATAAATTTAAAAATCAAACAAAAATATGTAATTCTTCCTTATTAATGCCCTAACAAAAATTTACTTTGATTTTTGATTTTCGTCAATTTAGTTAATAAATAATTAAGTGTTTACATTTACCCCGAGAATTCGAAAAGTCGGGGTAAATGTAAACAGAACTTGAACTACATTTTAAAAGAAAATAATTGAATAAATTTGCTTCTATTTCACAATTTCATTAATTTGGCAATGTAAAATTACATAGAAAAAGAAATTAGGTCCTCTTTGAAAAAAAAAAATTTGAAAAAAAAAATTTTTTTTTGAAAATTTGATCAATTGTTAAAAATATTTTTAGGTTTATCCGCCATTTTGAAAATTTAAAATTTGACTTCAAATTCGTATTCAGCGACCTCAAAAACCCCCGAGTAGCCAGATTCAAGCAAATTTGATCAATTTTTAAAAATATTATTTTTAGGTTCATCCGCCATATTGGATCCACCATTTTGAAATTTAAAAATTCGATTTTAGATTCTTATTCAGCAAAATAAAAAAAAACTTCTTTTTACCAAGTTGAATGAAAATCTATTAAAATTTGTTCAAGTTATTCAAGTTTTTACATTACTAGTTTTGTAATGGTTGATTGTTTATTTTATATGATACATTATCAGTCAACTAGTTGATTTACTATACATCTACGAAGAATTTTTTTCAGTTTTTCCATCCCTTAAAACAGAAGTATAGTTGAAATAACTTGTTTCTTAAACCTCGCTTAACTACAGTGGTGTTTACATTTACCCCGAATTTTAGGAAAATTTCAAAATCTCGGGGTAAATGTAAACAGTCAGTTTTAGGCGATTCAGGTGCATCAATATTTTTTTGTACCTCATCACATTTTTCTAGGGAATTCTAGTAACAAGTTCATGCAAAAGAAATCCGTCCGTTTTACCTTTTAACAAAAAAAACTAATGTTCTTGGTGAAAAATAGATATTCCGTTTACATTTACCCCAATTGACCCTAACTAGAATAATTAACTAGTAAATTAGGTAATAATTGAATTTTTTAAAAATTTAAATCTAAAATTATTCAAAAATTCATATTTAAAAATAAAAAATTTTGTAATTTGCATAATAATAATAAAATATAATAATAAAGAAACGAATTTATATTTTATTTTTTCTCTGAATCCACAAAAAGCCCAAAATAATTTTTAGATGGTAAAACCTAGAGAGTCTGAACTTTTTTTTTTGAGACAACTTTCAACAAAATTGAAGACGACATATTTTGAGAAATTAACACACAAAGTTATTAAATACAAATTAAATTAAGAAATAATTATTTTTTAAAAAAAGCTTTCTACCATCTAAAAGCTTGAGAAATTCTCTTAGAAGCATTATTTATATTTTATATTTAAAGTTTTTCAAATAAAACAATGAAAAGTGCTCCACCCGTAATAGTCATTTGCAGTTGGTATGGTTTTAAATAGAAAGCTTAGGGATGTTAAAAAAAAATTTTTTTAATTTAGAGTTGCAGAATTTGTAAAACGATCCTTTTTCAAGTGAAATTTATTTTCAAATATTGAAAGTTAAAATTTAATAATATTAAAGGGGTGCGCAAAGCGAATTTCTATTTTTTGTAAAAACTCTCATTAATGTTTTTCAGGGTATGAAAAATGATTTCATTTCTTATTCTATATTTATTTTTTAATCAAAATTTTATAAATTGAAAGGACCGTTCCAACTTTTAAACCTATTTATTTTACATCCGTAGTTAATAAACAGTTAAAGTTTTTTTGAATTTGGAATTCTTTTCCTGTTATCTTCTACCACTTGAATTAACTTTTGTTTTTTTCTTTCTTACCTGATTATCGATTCATTAAATTTAATTTTAAATTTAAACTATGATTAAAAAAATTGTTTATCAAAAAATTACTTAAAAAAACAGCTAAAAACTTAATTTTTCAAAAATCGATTTATTTTTATTTATTTCAATTTATCTTTAGCATACTGCTTTTTTTCAACAAAAGACATCATTTAAGCCATTCTGCAACTATTAATATTTAAAAAATCTTTTTCCATTGAGTTTTGAACAATTTTTTTTAAAAATTTTTTATATAGATAACTATTATTTTAAAGACGTAAAAAATGAAAAAGAGGTATATTTGTAACTTGCAAGAATACCTTAATTAAAGCTCTCGCAATGGCGACCCTTTGACGTTGTCCTCCACTGAGAGTGATTCCTCTTTCTCCCACAAGAGTATCGAGACCATTCGGCAATCTATTTACAAACTCGAGAACATTTGAAATCTTCGAAGCTTCGATTATATCATTTTCCGAGACATCATTCGTTCCATAAATGATATTCTCACGAATCGTGTCATTGAAAAGCGTCGGCTCCTGTGGCACAACAGAGAGGAAACTCTTCACCCAGATGGGATCGAGATTTCTAAGATCGTGGCCGTCTAGTAAAATGGATCCTCTGTCCGGGTCATACAGCCTGAGGAGGAGCAGAGCCAAAGTCGATTTCCCCGAACCGGACGGACCGACAATCGCCGTTATCGAAGACTTTGGCAAATGCAGATTGAAATCGTTGAGAATCCACGAAGCGTTTCTCGTCGGATACGCAAAGCTTATATTCTCGAATCTCACATCGCCGGACAAATCCTGATCGAGGATTTTTCCGCCCTCAACTGGAATTGTCGGCTGACGATTGATTAACTCAAAAAGTCGGGTACTCGCCCCGAGGGCTTTGTTCAGCTCCGAGTAGAAGCTCGACACGCCGCTTATCGAGAACCCCACGTATCCGGCGTAGATCAGAAAGGCGCTGAGACTGCCGACTGTGATTCGCGCATCGGACAACATAAAACCGCCGTAGTAGAGGACAGAAAGAATCATTACGTTGCCGGAAAAATTCGTCATTCCGAAGAATAATCCTCTGAACAGGCTCTCCTTGTAGCAGAGATTCAATAAATCCTGTAGTTTGTGATTGTATTTTTGAATTTCGTTGACTTCTTGCGCGAAAGCCTTCACTGTTCTTATGTTACTGATCTTCTCCTCGACTGTCGTGCTCAACGAGGCCAGACTGTCCTGCACGTCTTTGGAATTCTTCTTGACAAATCCGTTGTAGAGGATGGCTAGTCCGGCCACTGGAGGAATCACAAGCAAACCCACCAGCGACAGTTGGGGAGAGACGTAGACCATCATTGACATTCCCACTGTCGTCATTATCGTTGAACGCAAACCGTCCGACACGTTGCTGGTTATCGACGAACTCACGAGCTGAGCGTCACCTGAAAATAATATCAAAACGTTAGAAATAAACCCAATTTTCAAGTTTTATATTTAGGTTCATTAATCTAGATGTTGCACCTTTTTCAAAAAAAAGAAACTTCCGGGTGACGTTTGCAGTTAAAAGTATCAAACTTGGACACATTATTCAGGGTTACCACAGGTCAGGGAAATTAGGGAATTCAGGGAAAAGTCAGGGAATTTTATTAAAGTACTGGAAAAAATTAATTTTGCAGGATTCATTATTAGTTTTATTTTATTTTTCAATATTATATTTAATTAATTATTAGAAATCATGGATTTACAGAAGAGTTTTAGTTAAAAACACTAACAAAAATTGTATTTTAAAGAAGTTACAAATGTTTGCAAAAATTGAATTTTGTTCAAAAATTTAAAAAAAAATTCTAGTCAAAATTTCAATTATCTTTAAAAATAATAAAATTCTTCTCCAAAATTCAATAAATTTTTATAAATAATAAACATTTTACAGAAATTCAACTATCAAATATTCCATAAATTTTTTTGCAATAATTAAATTATTTTCATAAATAATAAAATTTTTTACGAAGATTCAATTATTTTCATGAATACTAAAACTCATCACAGAATTACAATTATTTTTAATACAATTTTAACCGAATTCCTCGAAAAATGTAATTCTTCTTGAAAATTTTATTAAAATTCGATCATTTAAAAATTTGTTGATAAAATTCTTTATAAGAATTGAATTTTGAAAAAAATTCATTTATTCAATAATAAAAACTAATAAAAACTGTTTTAAAAATGAATTTCAGATAAAAAATTTTAAATAATTGATAAATAATTGTTTATTTATTTTTTTCGAAAAATTTTAATAAAATTGAAATCCTGGGAAGAATTTTATTATTTAGGAAAATAATTGAAGTCTTGCAACGAACATTTATTACATTTTTTAAAAATAATTGAAATCCTGTGAAGAAATGTAGTGTTTAGGAAAACAATTAAATTCTTGCAAAGAATTTCATTACATATTTCTTTTAAATAATTGAAATCCTGTGAAGAATTTTATTATTTAGGAAAACAATTGAATTCTCTTGAGAAATTTTATTAAAATAGTAGATTTTTAAAATATTTGAATTTCAGCGAAGAATTTCATTTATTTGTGAAATGTAATGGAATTCTTGCAAAAAAAGTTTTGAAAATAATTACATTTTTCGAGGAATTAATTTAAAATTGTATTAAAAACAATTTAAATCCTAGGAAAATTTTTATTATTTATGATAATAATTGAATTCTTACAACGAATTTTATTTCATTTTTCTAAATAATTGAATTGATGTGATAAATTGTATTATTTATAAAAATAATTGAATTCATGCGAAGGATTTTATTAAAATTTTTGTAAATAATTTATTTTTTTTTTAAATTTTATAGAAATTTAAATTATTATAAAAGTTATTGAATTTCAAAAAGTTTAAATTTGAGAATCAAAATATTCTTTTAGGTCAGGGAGAAAGTCAAAATTTTGTCTGGAAATCAGGGAAAAGTCAGGGAAAATAAAAATTAATTTTTTGTGGCAACCCTGTTTATTTTTTGTATAATTTCGGTTCAAATTGTAGGAAAATATGCAAGCATCCGAACATATATAAATAATAATAAAAAAAAACACTTCTAGAAATAAACATTTATTTAGCAGACCAATATTTATAATCAAGAAGCCAAAACCCCCCTAAAAATTGTATGGTAAAAGTAGTAGAGTCATTAAACGAATATCTCTCAAAATGAATCGTATTTTTCTAGAGAGCATTGTGCTCCCAATACGGTATCTGTGCTTGTGGTTATAAACTTTTTAACGATAAGGATAATACAAAACATTTCTGCACCTATAAGTGAGCTAAGGTTAAAATATTGTCGTCGTACTTAATTTTAAATCATTAAATTATCTCAGACATTAACTGTTTACATTTACCCCAAATGACCCTATTTAGACAGTTTAGACAAAAATTTTTAATTGTTTTTCCCTGATTTCCAGATAAAAAATTTCGAGTTTTTCCCTGACCCTAAAGAATATTTTGATTCTCTCTAAAAATGATTAGATACTAAAAAAATATTCCGATATATTTATTTGTGAATTTCTTTAATTGTAAAATTATTCAAAAACATCAATAACTTCATTTTTAGTCAAATATTTTTAATTTTTCCATTAGAATTAAGATTTAAAAAAATTTTAAATTCAAACCTTTTTGAAATTTAACAACTTATAAAATTGAATTTTATTTAAAAACATGACCGAGTGGTAATGTCATTATTAATTATACTAGGTATAAGAAAATTATTAGGTACTGTAACTTTTTTAAAATTATTTTCATAATTTAAATTCAATTATTTTCTACAATTTTTAACTAAAATTCTTCTTTATATCAATTATTTTTTAAATAATGTTTGAAAAAGTTCTTTGACAATTTTCAAATAAATTTTCTTTACAATTCAATTTTACGAAATTTTAAGTATTCAGAAATTCTTTAATTACTTAATTATAAATTAGAAAATAATAACTTGAAATAATATCAACAAAAATTCAATTAATCTTTTTGAAAAAAATTAATTCTACAGAATTCTTAGTTAAAAGTATGAAAAATTCAGATTTTTAAAGATTTTAATATGAAACCTTTTTAAAATTCAATTATTTCTAAAAATTGCAATTATTAGTAACTTCTCAAAAATTCAATTATTATCTAGAACTTTAACTGAAATTAATTTTTAAATCAATTTTTATTTGAAAATCCTACGAGAATTCAATTATTTAAATACATACATAGATAATTTATTGAATAATTGAATGTTTTTTAAAATCGTATTCTTATACACTATTTTATCAACAAATTTTTGAATAATTAAATTCTTTCGACGAATTTTAATAAAATTTTTAAGAATAATCAAATTTTTGGAGAAATTCGATTATAAAATTGTATTACTTGGAGTAAACTTCATGTTTTATAATAATTTAAATTTACATAAAATTTTTCAAAAAAAAATTAAATTCTCTACCAAAATTTTAAGAAAATCCTTCAAAAATTAAGATTTTCAAAGATTTTAATTTGAAAACTTTTCAAAATTCAATTATTCCTAAAAATTCATGTTATAATCCTTTTAATATTCAATATTATTCAATAAACTATTTATTTTTGTAATTACATAATTGAATTTTCGTGGAATTTTCTAATAAAAATTCATTTAAAAAAGAATTTCAGTTTAAATTTTAGATAATAGGGGAGACTGGGGCGAAAAGTTAAATTTTGCATAAATGATTTTTTTTAGACAATATAATCCGCTTAGATGCAAATATTTATACATCAATATTGTAGGGCAACTTGTCCTCTACAACTTTCAATAAAAAAGTTCCTGATATTTTCGCAAAAAATACATGTTTTGTCTTTTTTTGAAAATTTTGTTTTTTTTTAACTTATCGCCCCATGCTGGGGCGAAAAGTTAAATGGCTGGGGCAAAAAGTTAAATTCTATTTTTAGCCTACTAAAACTATTTTCTGATAGGTGTGAAGTAGTAGATAAGTTAAAGTATACGTAAACAAGTAATTTAGTTAATAAAAGATCTTTGTTTACTTAACAAAAGCTTCAGAATAGTTATAAAGTTAATAAACTGAAATTTCAAAAAAAAAAAAAAAGTTTTGGTTTATTTCATGTGAGCGGTCTTGTTTTTTGATAGAGTACTTGCCTAATGTCAAATAAATCATTTTTAAACAAATAATCCCAAAAAAACGAAAAATAAAAAAAAAATTTTTAATAACATGTAGTGTAAAATACATTTAACTTTTCGCCCCAGGGTGCGTTTTTGGCTTTAACAACAAATATAAAAAATCTGACTGAAGATATTTAGCAAATACCTTTAGGTATCTCAGCAGGGGACCAAACAATGAATTAAAAAAATCGCGGTGAGAATAAATGCAAAAATTATACTTAAAAGTTGATCCTATTTTCTTTTACGAAAAAATTTTCAAAAGTAGGGTGAAAAAAAAATTTAAATATGGACACTACAAAAATTAGCAGAATGTCACATAACTCCGGACATTTATTTAGGGTGATAACACCCTTCTATAATTAAAATTGCAATGCTCTAACTATTTCCGTTCGAAAGATAATGAATTTTAACTGTTTTCACAATTTAACTTTTCGCCCCAGTCTCCCCTAATATTGAAGGTTTTTTAAAATTCAATTATCATAAAGAATTTTATCAATGCATTTTTAAATAATTAAATTCTTTGGACGATTTTTAATAAAATTTTTAAGAATAATTACATTTATCGAGAAAGTCGATTAAAATTGTATTAAAGATAATTAAAATTCTGCGATAAGTTTTATTATTTTACGAAAGTAATTGAATTCCTAAATAGAATTTTATTATTTACGAAAATAATTCAATTACTGCGAAGAAATTTATAAAAAATTTGTAAATAATTGAAATTATGCGATGGTTTTATTATTTCTGAAAATTTCTGAAAATAATTAAATGTTTGCGTAGAATTTTATTAAATTTTTTTTTAAATAATTGAATGTTATTGAGAAATTTTATTAAAAATAGTAAATATTGAAAATCATTGAATTGAGGAAATTTGAAATTAATTTAAATGTTGCCAAGAATTTAAAAAAAATGTTTGAAAATAATTAATTTTCCGAGAAGAATTTTATTATTTATAAAGATAATTAAAATTTTGACGAGAGTTTTTTAATTTTTGAAGATAATTGGATTTCTACGAAGAATTTTATTACTTTTGAAAATAATTGAATTTTTGTAACTATATTTGTAAATTTTCCAAAATTCAATTTTCTTTTAGTGTTTTTAACTAAAATTCTTCTATAAATCCATTATTTTCAATAATTATTTACATTTTTATTAAAAAATGTAACTAATTTCAGAAGAATTTGAATTATTAAAATTTTTCAAAAATCAAAGTTTTTTTCTATAATTTAATGTGAATTGAAAATTGAAGTATTCTAAAATTTCAAGTTTTAACCTTTTGAAGTTCATCTACTTATGAAAATTGTAAACGCGAATGTTTTAAAATGTAATTAATTTTGTAATATTTAAATAAAATTGTTCTTTTCATAATTTATAAGTAATAATTTTATGATAGTTTATGAGGTAAACTAAAAAGACACAAAAATTCAGAATTTTCTTAAGAATTCTAAAAATTTAATTTTTTCCAGTATTTTTAATAAAAATCTCGGACAGTTGTTCAAGAATGAAGTTATTTAAAAAGAAATTATGGTCAGAAAGAGAAAAATTTGAAGTTTTTGTATTAGAATTCGTGGTAATTTCATAGTTTATAAGGCAAACAAAAAAGACATTAAAATTCAGAATTTTCCTATGAATTCTAAAAGTTTAATTTTGTCCAGTACTTTTAATAAAAATTCCTTACTTTTTCCTGAATTTCCTGACTAATTCTACTTTTTTTTTTACTTTTCCCTGTATTTTCTGACCTGTGGCAACCCTGGTAATAGTTATTTTAAAAGTGCCTTAAAGGGGTTGTTTTCAAAATGTTACTTTGTTTTTTTCATATAGTTGATTTTAATTTTTAGATATAAATTGTCTGCTTATTAAGCAGCGATTTTTTAATCTTTAATTTGTTTGTTAAGTTCCTGCTTACATAATAGAAATTGTTTTCTAGTAAGAAGACAATATTATTACCGCCTTGAAATGATGTTAAACTTGTCTTTATTTAAAATATTTTTCTTGGTGTAATTAGTCAATTCTGAAGTAAGACTTTTGTAAAATATACTTGTTTTGAACAAGTGTTTTTTAAAAATAAAGATGAAATTACCTGCCAATCTTCCGACAAGTTCGCCGGTGCTAACTTTGTCAAACATTGCCGTCTCCTGTCGGATAATCGCCGAATAGACCTTCTTCCTCAAACTGCGTGTGATTCTGTGTCCCGAAGTTGACATGAGATAGATTCGACTACAATTACATATTGCACCGATAATAAATACACCCAGCAGTGTGAGACACACTCGATTTAAATTCTCCTTCGTCTTCTCGCTGTCAGGCGAATAAATCAGGTCAATAATTTTCCCCAGGCAGAAGGGAACGGCCATCGTGACACTCGACGAAACCAGTAAAAAAGCCACGGCACCGGCGAGTTTCCATTTTTCCGGCGCTGCCAATGCAAAAAGTCTCCTCAATTCGGACTCTCCTTTTTTTCCAGAGGCAGATTTTACGTTTTTCGCTGCATTCTCGACGACTTTTGCCTTTATCGTGTTGGTCGTGTAGTGTCGCAAACTCGGCCAGGCGAATTTTCTTTTCGACAGATGAATCGAGCGGAAAAGGCACGACGAACTCAGACATATTCGATTGGAATTCTGTATTATTGCGTTGTTTATTATACATTTGTACAATAATGTCATTTTTTCATTTGTTCTATATACTTTTTTTTAATAAAAATGATAAAAATACAAAGAAACCTAACCTCGAAATTAGTAAATTTTCATATTATATTGACAGCATTACCTGAATGTCAGTTTGTCACACGGTGAGAATTACTTATCTTTCGTAACATAAAGAAAATTTTGCTTTGTCAATGCTCATTAATTAAATATTTACATTTATGAAAGAAATTAGAATAATAAAATCTCCACAATTTATTCACAAAATTTGGACAATTCCGACAGACGTCAAATGTAATTGCAACGCAGTGCTGCCAACATAAAAACTTTGTTTTAATAATTTCTAAATAATTTCCAGTGTTTCAAATTTTATTTTCTGAAATAATTATCTTATAGAGCTTACAGGTAATTAGGGTAATTAGTTTTCAAGACTATTCGGGAATAATTTAGTTGGATTCAAATTTTCCGCCATAAAGAGCGGAAGTTGTTAGAAAGTTTCACATCCGTTTGTGTAATTTTTCAACGTTGGTTACACTGCAGTGTTAATTTTGATGACAGCTGCAGTAGTTGCATTTTTGTTCACTTATGCCTGTTATTATTATTTGTTAGAGAAAATAAATGAATGTAAATTAAAAAAGATTGTTGAACGAGAAATAAGTTTACTGTGCAACATAAAAATGAAGCGCGCAAAGTATTGAGTGAGTAAATAAAGTAAACAAAAGTAAATCAAAAACCTAACCTGTACTTTCTTGGAATTATTATCAGTTTCTTGTAAATTCTAACATAAACTATAATATTGATCACTTATGTAGATTATTCTTTCGTTTCGAAAGAATTCTTGATACGTTTTTAACAATTGAAATTTCTGTTTTTTTAATATGCCATCATGAAAGAGAGGTTAGATTTTTCTAGATTATATCTGCATTTCTTTTCCAATTAAAGACTGAAATTATTTCACAGTTAATGACAGAAAGTAAGATTGAAAAGAGAATTAAAACGTAGCTAATGGGTCGGTCAGAAAAGTACGGTCTCAAAATGAGTGAACACGAGTCTGTGTATGGGACAACATTGTCTCAGGAGTCAATGAAAGTCATTGCCGAGAGTATCGGTATTGGCAATTTACCGGATGAAGCGGCAAAAGATTTGGCGGAAGATGTCAGTTACAAATTAAAAGAAATATTACAGGTAAAATAATTCATTTCATTTAAATGCTGTGTTTATTTTGGGCAAATCTATGGAACCAACATTTTCACTTATAAAGATAAAAAAAAGGTTGCCACAGGTCAGGGATTTTTATTAAAATACTGGAAAAAATTGAATTTTGTAAAAATTACAAATAATTGCAAAAATTCAATTATTTTCAAAAGTAATAAAATTCTTATCACAAAATTCAATTATGTTCAAAAATTTTTAAAAATTCTCGTCAAAATTTCAATTATCTTTAAAAATAATAAAATTCTTCTCCAAAGTTCAATTATTTTCAAAAATTTTAATGAAATTCTTGTCAGAATTTCAATTATTTTAAAAACAATTTTAATCGAATTTCTTTCAAAATGTACCTAATTATTCTTAAAAATTTTATTAAAATTTATCAAGAGAATTCAATTATTTAAAAATTTTGTGATAAAATTCTATATGAGAATTCAATTCTAAGAAACATTCAATTATTTAATAAATTATTTATTTTGTATATTAATAAGCATTATAGCTTGAATTTTTAGAAATAATTAAACTTTGAAAAGGTTTCAAATTAAAATCTTTGAAAATCTAAATTTTTTATACTTTTAACTAACAATTTTGTATAGAATTAATTTTTTTGAAAAAGTTTAATTGAAGTTTGTTTTGAAATTATTTATAGTTTTTATTTTCTTATTTAATTGAAGAATTTCTGAATAATCAAAATTTTGTAAAATTGCATTATAAACAAATGGATTTGAAAATTCTCAAGGAACTTTTTCGAAAAATATTAAAAATAATTGAAATTCAGTAGAGAATTTTATTATTTTTTATGAAAATAAATAACTTGCAAACAAAAAATTTTATTAGATTTTTTTTTAAATAATTGAAATACTGTAAAAAAATTTTATTTTTTAGGAGAATAATTTAATTTTTGCAACGAAATTTTATTACATTTATTTAAATAATTGAAATTCTGTAAAGAATTTTATTATTTATGAAAATAATTGGATTTTGGATGAATTTTATTAAAGTAGTGGATTTTGAAAATATTTGAATTTCAGTGAATAATTTCATTATTTGTGAAATGTAATTGAATTCTTGCAAACAATTTTTGAAAATAAATTCCTTTTTCGAGGAATTTATTTAAAATTGTATTAAAAATAATTCAAATTCTATGAAAAATTCTATTTTAATTATGAAAATAATTGAATTTTGGATGAATTTTATTAATTTTTTTTATAAATACAAATTGAATTCTTGTGAAAAATTTTATTAAAATAGTGGATTTTGAAAATATTTGAATTTCAGTGAATAATTTCATTATTTGTGAAATGTAATTGAATTCTTGCAAAAAATTTTTGAAAATAATTACATTTTTCGAGGAATTCATTTAAAATATTAAAAATAATTGAAATTCTATGAACAATTCCATTTTATTTATGAAAATAATTGAATTCTTACTACGAATTTCATAACATTTTTTAAAATAATTGAATTCATGTGAAACATTTTATTACTCGTGAAAATAATTGTAAATATTGTGCATTTACTTTTATTATAATAGAAGTTTCAAACACACAACAAAAAAAATTTAATAAATAACTTTTAATTATTTATTTTTTTTTTTATAAATAAAATTGTTACTTAAAAAACATTATTACATTTTTAATTAGCAATGCAGAATATTAAGTAAAGAATTTTAAAATTTGTTAAGCAGGGAAAATGAAAAATTAGTCAGGAAAAGTTAGAAAATTCTGAAAATGAAATTTTGAAACCACCCTATTATTATTAATTTTATAATTTTTAATATTAAACAAATGAACTATTCAAAAATAAATATTTTTAAAACAGTATAAAAAATTATTTAAATAAAAAAATCGAATTGTTTTGATTTTTTTTCAAAAAATCATGATTTTTATCAGCTCTGATTTAAATCAAATTTTTTCTTAATAATAATTTAATCAACTTTGATTTAAGGAAGAATCCACCAACGTTTACGTCGACAAAATGATATAAAACAGGTTGTTCATTTCATGACCAATATTTTCAATTTTAATTAATGTATTGAAAAACATTGAAAATTGTATTAAAAATAATTGTATTTTTGCAAAGAATTTTACTATTTTTAAAAATAATTGAATTGTTTCGAAGGTTATTTTTAAAATTATAGAAAATAATTGAATTTTTTTGAAAAATATTATTAAAAATTAAGAATAAAATTGAATTATTTCGTGAAATTTTATTGAAAATTAATTATTTTTTTCGAATTGTTTTGTTTTAAGTAGTAAAAATATAAAAGTAATGAATAAAGTTAATTTTTTTAAAAATTGTAAATTAAAAATTTTAAGTTTTAGAAAAAGTAACATTTTGTGTTTTTTTTATATTCAATTGTAATAATCAGTGGCAAAAATACATTTAACAATATTCATAAAATGGAAATATTCATGAGGAAGCAAAGTGTTCATGAAATGAACACGAAAGTTTCAACTTTAACGTTTTGCAACTCGTTTACGCCACTTTCGAAAATTTAATTTTTCTCTGATAAATAGGATGCGGCAAAGTTTATGCGTCACGGAAAACGTCAACGAATGTCAACTCAAGACATTGACCATGCTTTGAAAATAAAAAATATCGAGCCAACGTATGGATTTTTCGCCAAGGATCACATTCCCTTTCGATTTGCGTCCGGCGGCGGTCGTGAGTTGCATTTTGTAGAGGAGAAGGAAATCGACTTGAACGAAGTACTGTCCACTTCGGGTGGTCAAAGTTGGCCCAAATTACCTTTAGAAGTAACCTTAAGATCTCACTGGCTTTGCATAGATGGAATTCAGCCGACAATCCCCGAAAATCCACCTCCTGTCTCGAAAGGTAATTCATTCTTAAATTTCTTTACAATATTACCCCAGTAGAAAATTAATAACAGGGGGTAAAAATGGAAAATTTTAGAAGTTTGTTGTATAGCTTTTTAGATAAAGAATTGAATGGTTTTTGGTTTTTTAAAGTCGGTTCAGTACATTTCAAGAAAAGTTTCTTTCCACTTTCAAAATTGTGTTTTCGAGAAAAAACGCTTTTAAAGTTTTCGTAAAGTATTAATGGTCATAAAAATTGCTATAACTTTTTTCTTTAGTATATTTCTTGAAAAATGTTTTAGGAAAGTAATTTTATAATTTTAAGGAATATTTTAAAACAAAAAAAAAGAAATCGATTTTTTTAAATCCTTGACCAGAAAGTCCCCTCAAGAATTTAAGAAAGTAAAAAAAAATGTTGATAATTTCAGATATTCAAAAACTGGAAAGTGTCGACCCGACTCGGAAGCTGACCAACACGAATCAGAATACAGGAGTCGGAAAACCAGGCGGCGGAGGCAAGAGTCAGAAACTGCGAAACGTGGAGACGGTCCATGTGAAGCAACTGGCAACTCACGAATTGAGTGTCGAGCAGCAGTTGTATTACAAGGAAATAACGGAAGCCTGTGTCGGGTCCGATGAAGCGCGCCGAGCCGAAGCGTTGCAATCGCTCTCCGCCGACCCCGGCCTGCACGAAATGTTGGCCCGAATGTGCACATTCATTGCCGAGGGTGTTCGAGTCAACGTCGTGCAGAACAATCTCGCTATTCTCATTTACCTCATGCGAATGGTCAAAGCGCTGCTCGATAATCAGAGTCTTTATTTAGAAAAATACGTAAGTGAAGCAACTAATGTAATAATAGGAAGAGTGTGTTTTTTTACTGTTTGCTAAATGAGACTTTATTTTAATTTACAGCTCCACGAACTCATTCCGTCGGTCGCCACTTGCATAGTAACGAAGCAACTTTGCATGAGGCCCGAAATGGACAATCATTGGGCGCTGAGGGACTTCGCGTCTCGTTTGATGGCGCAAATCTGTAAAAATTTCAACACCTCGACAAATAACGTCCAGACCAGAGTAACTCGTATGTTTGGTCAAGCCTTGGCGAAAAGCAATCAGGTATGCTTGGAAAAAGAATTCAAATCAGGGTTGCTACAGGTCAGAAAAATCGGGAAATTCAGGGAAAAGTCACAGAATTTTATCAAAAGAATTGGAAAAATATACAATTTCTAGAAATCATTAAAAAACTCTGAGCTTTTTTAACAGAGTTAGAATTGAATTGAATTCTTGAAAAACTATCGAAAAATTATTATTTATAAATTATTTTGCGAATAATTTTCTTTAAAAATTAAATAAATAATTTAATTATATAGAAGTTACGCTTTCAATTTTTATAATTAATATAAACAACTAGAAAATTTTAAGCTCACCAGCACGCGAAACGCAACATTTTGTTTAATAATATTATATAAATTACAAAATTTTTTATTTTTAAATATCAACTTCAATTTTAGAATAATTTCAGATTGAAAATTTAAAGAAAGTCAATTTTAATAAAATTCTGTATCAGAATTGAAATACTTTAAACAACATTTTTACTAAAATCCTTGAAAAAAATTGCAAGATTTCAATAATTTCCATACATATTATGTATAATAAAATATTTCGCAGGAAATCAATTATTTTTAATATAATTTTAATGAAATTTCTCGCAATAATTCAATTTTTATAAAATACTTGAAAACAATTAAATTATTTTCAAAAATTTTGATAAAATTCTATGTAAAAATTTAATTATTTCAAAATTAAGGCAAATTAAACGAAAACATTCGGACAATGAATAAAATATTTATTTACTCCAACGTTTCGAAATCTAAATGATTTCCTCTTCAAAAAAATAATAGTTAAAACATACGATGTCTTCGTATGTTTTAACTATTATTTTTTTGACTCCCTGAAGAGGAAATCATTTAGATTTCGAAACGTTGGAGTAAATAAATATTTTATTCATTGTCCGAATGTTTTCGTTTAATTTGCCTTAATTTATAAAGGATCTCGGATGTTAAAGATTATAAACTAATTAATTATTTCAGATTAAAAATATTACATATTTAGGGTGGCCACATGTCAGTAAAGTCAGGGAAATGCCACAAAAAAAATTTTTTATCATGATATTAAGAAAATTGATTTTTTTTTTACTTATTTCCAAAAATTGCAACTTTGTCGACTTTTCTTCCAAATATTGCAACTAAATATCCCATTTTTTAATATAAAATGCAACTTATTTCGATCTTTATTTATAGTTACAATTTTTGAGAATCAACTTTTAAAGAGTTTTCATTGCTAATTTTGAAAATAATTGAATTATCAAAAATTTTAATAGAAAATTTTTAAATGTAAATTTAAAAATGAAAATTTTTAAATGTAAATTTAAAAATGAAAATTAGCTTCTAATTTTTTAAAATCCAATATTTTCAGTATTTTCAATTACATATTTCCAATAATTCAAATACGTACAAAAAATAATAACATTTTAGAATTATTTTTAACAATTTAGAGAAAAAAATTATGTTCAAAATTTTTTAAATTAAAATTCGTCAAAGACTAATTAGTTTTTTTTAATTAAATATACAAAAATTCAATTATTTTCGAAAAATCTACATATTAAAATATTTTTAAAAACTAATTCATAGAGTTGTTTTATTACAATTTTTTAAGATTCAGGGTACCTTCTAACTAAGTAACTAAAAATTTATAAAATTTTACTTTTTTAGATTTATTACAATTTTGGAGAATTCTTGGTCATATTTATACTTAAAATTCTTCAAAAATTTTTGTATTAGATATTATTTATATTTCTCAAAAATTCAATTATTTTTAGAAGATTTTACCAAATTTTAAATCAGGAAGCGTATAATTTAATTGTAATTTTTAGAAATTAAAAAAATTTAAATTTTACTCATTTTCCGTAAACTTTCACATTTTCCTGTTAAAAGAATTTTGTCAGAGAAATTGTAATTTCTAAATTTGTTTTGCAATAATATTATCATAAAAGTTATTCTTTAAAGTTGAATTAGTAAACATTTGAAGTATTTAGAATAAAAGTGTTATGAATTGTCAAAAAATTAATTTTTTAATTCTACATGAAACGAGATTTAAAAATTCTGTTTTTCTTAGAAAATAAGTTTTTAAAAAAACATATTTTTCAATTTGAAATTAAATTTTTTTAAATTTTGATAAAAATTCTGAAGAAGTTATATTTTTACATTCTCATAAAAAATGTGAATGTCTTGTTTGAAATATTTTTGAAATTAGTTGTATTTTTGAATATATATTTAATTGAAAAATTTTCAAATGATTAAAATTTTACGAAATTGAATTGTAAACAATTGAATTGTAAGAAATATTAGGTAAACTTTCTTTTTCTTTAAATAAATTATTAAATTCTTAAGGAATTTTCTCCAAAATTATTCAAAACAGTAATTGAATTATTGAAAACAATTTTGGATAAGTTACACTAGTAATTTTTAAAAATTATTGAATTGCAAAGGATTAAAAATTGTTTTCAAATCTTAATTCCTATGAAAAAATGATAATAATAATTAAATAGTTATTTACAATAAAAAATTGTTGATATTCCGAATATTTTTACAGTTGAAGATTTTTTAAAAATTAATGCAATACAAACAGTTTTTTGTGTATTTGATTAGTTTTAGAGTGAATTAAAATATTTTTAGAGTCAGGGAAAAAGTCAAATTTGTCTCTGGAAATCAGGGAACCATAAAATAAAATTTCTATGGCAACCCTGAAAATATATTAATAATTATACATAAATATGAATAAAATGTTGATAAATGAAAATAAATAAACAAATTTCAGACACCATTGGCTTCCTTGTATGGCGCAATTGACGGTCTTTGTGAACTAGGACCTGAAGTGGTGAAAGCTTTGGTCATACCTAAAATAAAAACCATTTCAGAGCGAATCGAAGCGAGTATCGACGGCATTGGGCTTTCGACCATCGACAAAAATGCCGCTGGCCATATAAAAACTTTACTAGTTGTACGTAAGAATATAAATATTATCAAAAATGTTCAATTACCATAAATTAAATTTTTATTGGAATTTCTTTGACAGAAATCGGTAGCTCCTGTTTTGAAAACAATTCGGCCACCGCCGGATTTCGTCGAAGACTACAAACAAGATTTCGGCTACCTGGGACCGTCCTTGTGTGCCGCCGTTGCCAAGGCTCGAACGCAACCAACAACCATAGTAACAACCACACCGTCAACCACTGCGTTAACCACAAACCAACAGCAAAATACAATTACCACCGGAAAAACAATTATTCAAACAGGTAATGAAAATATGAATATGACACACATTTAAATAACACACAATTATATAATTGGGAAAATCCACGAAACCGTACGATTTGCCAAAACTTTTTAAATTATACTTTCATATTTTATTTATAGTGTTAGAAATATATTTGTAAAGAACATTTTTTTTTCGAACCATTTTCCTTAGTGCTGAAGGAATAATAATTAAAAAAACTTCCCTGCAATGTGAAACTTTTTAGATGAAACTACACTACACACTCAGAATTGTGTGTAGTGTCTATTTTTAGATTGTATTGTAAATAATTATTGCGCCAAGGATTTATTATTTAATATGAAAATAGAAACGAAGACTACTAGACTTTAAGATAAATTCTCGTCGACTCTTCCAATGCTGATAATTAAAAGAAAATTGTATATTTAATATTTTTTAAATGTGGAGAAAATATTTGTCATGTACAATTAATATCTATTAACACAAATTTTCAGCTCAACATTCTTCAATCTGCGAGTAAATTAAAAATATTCGAAATTTTAGAAAAATGTTAATATTTCGAGACTGAACATAAAAAATTAGTTATTGTTATTATTGTCTTCTCTTTTAATGACAAGGTTTAATACGTTTTAAATTTCGTCGTCGTAAGTTATATACTTATTGAAAAATAAATGGAACTACGTTACCATTGAGGGTACAAAATAAAAAAAATAAGATTGATACCAAATAATTTGAGTAACAGTTTTTAAATAGATATTATTTAGTTTTAGTTGAGAAGTTTGTGCTTTTTAAAAAGAAATTTTCTTTGACGTGTAATTATAATTTTGGCTGATTGAAAATTGAACAATTTTGTCCGATTCCGTTTTAGGCTGGATAAATAATAAAAAAGAAAATCGAAAAAGACACTTAGAGTAAAAAAGTCTTTGACTTGAGCTTATGTATAATTTTCTATATATAGAATAAAATATATAATTCTATAATATAGTATTGAAGATAAAATACAATAAGCTTCTTATTAAAATGACCAAGAAATATATATTATTAAAATATTAAGTCAGAAGTAACAGGAAATCACACGGTTCCGTGGATTTACCCATATACATTGCAAAACACTTCGTGAAACCTAGAGCAAATTTTACCTTTAAAGTTATTAAGTACAAAAGCCATTACTTAAAAAATCTATAAATTATGGTTCGTGTGGCAAACCTAAATATTCGAATAATTAAAATTTTCCGAACTGCTTCCATGCTTAATTGATAAATTAGATATTTTTGATTTTCTATTTTGTTCATTAATTGGTAAAATTTGTCTCAAATCTTTTGTTCCACAATTAAAATTTTATCACTGAAAACTTAATCAATATTAAAATTCTCAATAATATAAATGAATGAAAGTCACTTTTAATGATACATTTTTTTCGTTACATTCATTCGTGACAAAGAAAATATTTTCTTTACATTCTTTCTATTAATTTTGACAATAAAAAGTAAAAATTAAATTTTTTTTAATGGTTACTTAAAGAATGGTCTGACATTTAAATTCCAAAAAACAATTCAATTCAAATAAGTTGTGACCTTTTCTTGGGAACAGTGGTAAATTTTTACATTTTTTTTGCGCTGAGAAAATTTTGATGAGACTGCAGGCTTTTTATGGTTAAAACTAGATTTTTCTGTCTTGGGGCTTGCAGTTCGCAGTAAAAAGCTAGAATCTACTCCCGAAGGATCATGAAAACCCTCAGTCTCAACAAAATTTTCTCAGTGTAAAACTGAATTTTCTTTAAAGTATAAGGTACGAGTTTAAGTCTAAAGCTTAGAAATACCGCGTTTATAATAATAAAGGTTTGATAAAAGGAAAAGAATTTAAAGAAATTTCAAGCTTTCCGCTTCAAAATGCTTATGCTTTCCATTTCGACAATTTATGCTTTCATGAAACTTGCAAATATGCCTTAATTCTACTCTTAAATAAAGGCAAAAATTTTTGTAATTATGCTCTTGAAAATGTTTTTTTATGCTTTAATTATGCTTTGCATTTGAAAATAAGAGGCGCATGAATAAGTGCCAAAAGTCGTTTGCTAAAATTTTCAGTTGTAAGAATCATGTTAAGACATAATTTGCTTTTAATCGAATCTCAATCAGACAAAAATGATGCTTTATAGAATATAAAAATTAAAATTGTTTCGCTAATATATCCGCCCGTTCGTTACCCTTAATTCCCACGTAAGATGGAACCTATAGGAACCGAGTAAGGCATTTTTTTTTAAGAGTAAGATAATTAATTATTTTATGGATCAAAGGATGAGGGGACATGTTGGAGATTCTCGATTACAACTTATCTAAAGTCTTCCTAGAGTCAGTAACTATTAATAATTCAAACAGCTCTAATCGGTCAGCTTGTTTTAAAGCGAAAAGAATACAGTTCGCAAGAGTAAATTGACGTAAGTCCATTTAATCTAACACCAGGTATCCAAACAAAGGATATTTCTCCTAATCCCTCTGATTATCAAGTTTTTCGGTTATTGCAAATTGTATTGCCGAGGATATTGCCAAAGTCTCGAGAGAAAGTATCGAATGTAGAGAGGTAGTTCTTAACCCAAACCTTACATTAATCGAAGGTGAGATAAATGAGATTATTTTCTAAGGGGTGGGGAATTCCTGCTTCTGTCAGAAATACTGGAAAAGGAAATGTGCGCAAAAGTCCAAGAATTATTCTAATAGATGAGAACAAAGCCCTATTAAAGACCCCTATAGCAGCGCATCAAAACCATAGTAGAGCTGCTATCACATGCGTTGTTCTGTTGCAGTCCAAAAGGTCTCTGTGGGCAGGTAACAATTAGTATTAAAATTACAAGAAAAATCGACTAATACACTTAATACTAACCTCTTAACTAACAATATTAACAGCATCAGTCATACTAATAAAATTATGTGCGCTTAGTCGTCAACCCTTGGATGTGACGCTTGGCTTGCGACGTTACACTAGTTTGCACATCTACTTGTTCAATGACTAGAATATTTCCAAGGATAAGGTTTGTGAATATTAAAAAGTGAAAAACAATTTGTTTAGAGCACATTGCAGTATCTAGTCCAAGCCCTGCAACGCCACAATCGAACCGCACAATTATGCTGAATCCTAGCCGAAGCACCGGACCTCCGTCAACTGGTAAATACGTAATTTTGCAGTCTAGGCAAGCTTCAACTTCTGCGGGACTAAGTTCGAATGCGACTACCACACCGCAGCAAGCTACACCACAACCCCAGCAACAGCAGCAGCAACAAGTGAAAATTACTCAAGGAACTCCTGTTCAACAAAAACCGCATTTATCTTCTCCTGCAACCAAATTGGTCGTCGTTTGTATGCCTGGCACCAGTCACAATGTCACGTCAACCGTAACTCAGGTACTAACTCAGGTCACTTCGTAATTATTCATTTTTTCCACTTAAATTCCAAGTTGAATATTGAAAAGGACATATAAATAAGAACAAGTTAATAAATATTTTTTCCTTGCTTTGCAGGCGGCGCTGACATCAAAATCGCAAGTTTTTGTCGCTTCAAATGTCGAGCAAACTCACAATCCAATGGATGATCATTCTTTTCAATAATAGAGGTTATACTGTGCACGACTATGATAAATATTACAAAATTATAAATTGTTTAGATTCGAAATTTTTTAGTTCATGTTTATTTTTGGTCACTGAAGTGACGAAACGAATTCTTTGTACAAAATTCTATTGTTCTACTATATAGTAATAAAAATTATCGTCTGTCCTTTTTTTGTAAATACATTAAAATAAGAAATCGTCTAAAAAAGTTAAGTTTTTCATAATAATGATAGTAATTATAAGATATATATAAAACTGATATTTAGTACAATTTCTATAAGTCTTTTGTAAGAATTTTGCAAATCAATGTAAAAGTCAAGCACAATTTTCATTGTGTGAAATCATTTTTATAAATTTCGTTTATTAAATAAGCGACATAAGAAAGGACTTGTGAAATATATCTTTTTGAAGAGAGAAAAAATATATATTAATTTTTAGAATTTTAAATATTGTATTTCAGTATCCCTTTTACTTTAAAAGTCTCTTTTTCATTATTTTTATTTAGGTTTGATTTTTCGATTACGCGAGCAACAAAAACATAAGAAAATCGTTGTAAACATATTGTCTTTTTGACAGAAAAAAATTATTGTAAAAAGGAAAACAATAGTAAAATTAAATGCTCAAAAGCATTGAGTGGCATTGAGCACAGTAATGTCAAATGGAGAAAGAGAATTTAAACCAAATGTTTCGAAAATTAGATTTACGGATGAAAGTAAGTTTCGGAAATTTAAATTTGTTTAAATAATAAAGTGAAATATGGGAAAATTTACATTCTATGATTCGCTTATAGTTACGGAATCTAATCAAAACTCTGACAGAAGATCCAGGCGCTTACTGCATGGATTGAAAATAAAAAAGCACACTACGATATTTGCTTCGATGTGTCCCGATGAAATTTTGGACTATTATGATGATTATGAGACAAGAACTTATTTTACTACTTTAATGTTGGGCGATGTTTCAGGTTCGTTTGTAGTTTTTGAATTTTTTGAACCAGCTTTCTAATTGTTATTGATATTGTTATTTAATGAAGGTTTCACTGATTTGACGGAAAAATATACGAAATTCGGAAAAGGGGGACCATCGAAGTTGACTGAAATATTGAACACCTATATTGGCTCCATGGTACAAGAAATCCTTTCTCGTCGTGGCGATGTGTTGAAATTTTCCGGAGATGCTTTAATAGTAATGTGGAAATTACAGGAAGGAATGTCAATGCAGGACATTGCTGTCGAAGCAATGCAAACTGCCTGTGTCATTCAGAAGCATTTTGGAACCTTCGAAACTGACGTAGGAGTCACCCTTAAAGGTTTCATGAAAACCAAATTATATTTATTTTCACATAATTAACATTAACTTTTTCAATTTAAAATTTCATCTATTTGTTTACTGTAAATAATTTATTAATGTTTTATATATTAAAAATTATTCATTCAGTGAAGTTAGCAATTGCTTCGGGAAAAACGAGTTTCACGTCAATTGGAAACGCTAAATTATCCTCTTATTATATAATTACGGGAAAGCCAGTTTGGGATGTGAAATACGCTGAAACCTTGTGCAGGTATTTACGCTGAATAAAATTTGAAAAGTAAAATAATATTATTCGAAATAAAAGGAATTTATCAATCTTCCAAGTCAAAAAAATAAAAAAACAACTTTTAACGTTTCGACAGCTCAGCTGTCCTCTTCAGAAACTGAAAATATTTATTAACAATTAGAAAATAATAAAAAATACAAAAAAATTACAAAATAAAATTTTACAAAAAAAAATTACCGAAAGTAAGAATTGTTAAATTAATAAAATAATATTAATCGTAACACTAGATAATAGATACCTTGTAAAAAATCCTAAGATGTACTTAAAATTTGCTGAGATCTCCTACTCAGGTGTTTTTGGGGTCGCTGATTGCGAATCTGAAGTCAAATAAAAAAATGTTTGAACTTAGGAACGAATATAAATCCATCAGAGGCGCATGATTATTTCCCAAAAGTCATTTGACCGGACCGTCATTTTACCGAATTACATTTATCCGAACTGTTATTTTAACGAAATGTCACTTTTGCGAATCGCCATTTTTACGAATTGTCATTTATGCGAACTGACATTTTTTCGAATTGTAATTATTACGAAATGTCATTTTTACAAAATGTCACTTTTGTGAGTCAACATTTTTACGAATTGTCACTTTTGCGAAAAGTCATTTTTGCGAAATATCATTTTTACGAATTATCATTTATGCGAACTGTCATTTTTTCGAATTGTCATTTTTACGAAATGTCACTGTTACGAATTGTCATTTTTGCGAAAATTGCTATAGTAAATCTATATTATGCATACAAATTTACTATAGCAATTTTCGCAAAAATGAGAATTCAATTCGCAACAGTGACATTTCGTAAAAATGACAATTCGAAAAAATGTCAGTTCGCATAAATGACAATTCGCAAAAATGAATTTTCGCAAAAGTGACAATTCGAAAAAATAACTTTTCGCAAAAGTGTCAATTCGTAAAAATGTCGATTCGTAAAAGTGACAATTCGTAAAAATGTCGATTCGTAATAGTGACATTTCGTTAAAATAACAGTTCGGATAAATGCAATTCGGTCAAATGACATTTGGGGATTAATCATGCGCTTCATCCATCAAAGGGATTTAGCTCCACGTGGTAAACTATTAGGTCTTTTTTTAATAAAAATTATCCCCCACAGCACCGAAACTTTCCTTAAAATTTATTAAATATTTATTTGCAATGTTCGGAATATGTAATTTTGCAATGTTTATTGAAAATTGTGTAAAGATTTAAATGTCCCGATTAAATAAATGTTTAGCGCGAAACTTTCCTGAACATTTTCACACTAAACATTTATTTAATCGGGACATGTAAATCTTTACACAATTTTCACTAAACTTTTCAGTTAAATATGCCGAATATTGCAAGTAAATATTTAATACATTTTTAGGAAAGTTTCGGTGCTGTGGGGCATGCTACCAGAACTATTGTGCGTACCTACCAAAATTCTCAAGCGTTCCATTCTCTTCCCAGTGGGCATACACTTGTTCAAAAGACGTCCTAAGGATGTCTTTTTTGGACGTCCTACTGGTTTCAAGTGGAGTAACTATAAAGAACTGCATTTGCAAGAGAAGAACAGAAATATGTTCGCCTTGTTCTTACTAATGGTAATTATTAGTTACTCCACTTGAAATTAGGACCCTTGCCGGATCTAGGTAAATGATCTTAGCTAAAGGTAAGATTTCGCCTTTCCGGCCTATTCACGTGGGGCACTGAATCTGAATTCTTTGATTCCATTCTTACAGTTTGTTGGTTTTGGTCCACCCTGAATTTACAACCAACTTGATTTTACCTTATACATCCTATCAGCCACTCGATGGAGGATCGCATACAGTTGTATGTTAAGTGTTACTGAGGGTCTAAAAATCCTATATGTAAAAGGATCTTATGTATCCTCACAGGAATTCATATATTAAAAAGCTTCTTACATCGTAACTTGAGAAGGGTTCTTATGTTGAAAGTTATATTGGAACATTTCTCTTTATTGTTAGAGGTGGAGATATTATAGTAGCTCCAAGTTGTTGGAAATGGGCCAATACTGCAGATTATATTTACACAAAATTACCGGATGGAATTCATATTCTCATTTTGGCCTGTCCTGTTTTATATGAAAGTGGCAGCAAACAGGAGTTTGAAGATACAACTGGTATGGTTATTGAGGAAGTAGCGTTTTTATTGATTTGGTAATTATGTGTATTAAAGTATACGATTTAATTATTTCACAGCATCGGAATCCGAACATGAAGAATATCTCAGACGTGTAGACTCTCAAAGATTTGAATACAATTCAGATTTTATATCAAGATATATGAGCATCGACAGTCAATATCTGACTCCTTTAGACCAAATTGATTATCGGCGTATGTAAAACTATACTTTTTGCATGTTCTAGAATGCTTTAAGTAGTTTTTAATTTTAAGCAGTTCAATATTTTTCAAGTTCGTCCAAAGTTGATAAAAGTGACAAAAGATTGTTTGAAAAATGCACTGAGCAGTTACATTCCCAGACCAGTCGTTCGATCAGTCGAACTGGATGAACCAATGGAATATTTAACCGAAATGAGACAAGTGGTTATAGTGTTTGTTAACGTAATTACGAAAAATGCCAATAAAATGCGACTAATTCGTCTGGTCAATCATACGTACACTTTAGTTTGTGAGTACGTATACCAATTAAAAAGGAGTTTTTTTTGACACTCTTTATTCTTTTAACTGCTTTCATTTTATTTTTAATTTTATAAATAATTTTTTTCATATACGACTTAGAATCGTGAGTGAAATGCAAGGTTGCGTAAACAAAACTTCTCTTTTCGACAAGGATTTAATGTTCCTGTGCATTTTTGGATTGCGAGGAGACAAACACGAATTGGAATCTCAAATTGGTTTACGTTGTGCTTCCAAAATACGTCAGAGTCTGATTGAATTGCGAAATATTGAATCGGTCTCAGTTGGAGTGACGACTGGAATCACATACTGTGGAGTGGTTGGTCATATTTTGAGAAGAGAGTACACCGTGATTGGTATGGCTGTTAATAAAGCAGCCAGGCTTATGTGCGCTTACACTGACAAAGTAATTTCATTAAATTTTAATATTAAATATTAATATATTTCTTATAATGATTAAGTTATAAATTTTGCCTTTTTTTGTCCTTTATTATTAACCATTTGGGCATAGAAGTTACAGAAACAGCAAAAATGTCGACAAAACTTGAATACAATCCTAATCTTGTGTTGATGTAATAATTAGTGAGATTTGAAGTTAATTTCACTAAAAACTTCTTATATTTAATTAAATTTATTGAGGAGTTTGAATTGTTCGAATGAATTGATAGGTTGTTTGCGACAGAGACAGTTTTCTTCATTCGCACTTAGAGGCCAAACATTTTGTTTTGCAAGAAGTAAAACAACTCAAAGGCATAACAAATATTGGTCCTGTTTATGAATTTCTGGAACAAGCTCAGTGAGTTATCAGATTATTAAAAATATTATGTTTTTTGTCTATTTTTTGCAAATTATTTTACAAAATGTGATTTGCTGACTAAATAACGACTTAATGTTTATGCCTTTGAAATTATTACGCTTCTATATTAATGAAATAATTTAGAGAATCTGGATCACGATTCATACCAAGTAAGTATCCACTCCTTGGAAGAGACGACGAATTAAAAGTTTTTGAAAAATTGCTTCAAAATTTACTTCAGTCACACAATGAAAGAAGTCAAAATAAAAGCACAAGACTGAATAAAAGTGTTTTAATAATAAGGTGAGTATTTTTATATCTCTATAATAATAATTATAGTGTATAACATAAATTGTTTGTTCTACAGAGGTGTGTCTAGAATAGGAAAAACGAGATTAATGAACGAATTTACCCAACTAGTTCCAACGAACACTTCCTTTAACTTCATATCTCTAGGGTCGAATGATAGCAAGGTATAGTAATTTCTATTGGTTCTTAAATACTTTCATACGTTCTTTTCTTTTTCAGAATTTAAATTGAGTTATTTTCAATTAATTCGGCTTTTTTCTATCTTCTTTAGATTCCGTTCAGACTTGTGTATTTAATATTCTCTGCTCCATTGGGAATCACCGAAAATTCATCAGTGAAGGATCGAACGAGTAAATTGCTTCATAATTTGATGAATTTTCAAGAACCTGAGTATCTCTGCGTTCTCAATGAGCCATTTAAGGTTGATTTTAAAATAAGTACAGAATACGGAGAATTAGAAAGAAAAGAAAAACAACGATTTCTAAGAAAAGTTTTAGTTATTCTAATGTATACTTGTTTCGAAAAATTGTCCGTTATTTTTATTGATGATATCGAATACGCCGACAGAGAATCCATTTCATTATTAAATACCTTAATGAAGTTGGATTTGATTTTATTTGTGATCGGCTCTGGGCAAAAGAACACGAATACTTATTCCTTTCATAAGGACGTCATCGAAAGAACACAGGTTCAAAATTTCATATGAAAACTATAATATTAAAGCTGGAAGATAAGCTAACAATCTCTCCCGAATCAATTTCTCACTTTGGTTTCTTAATTTCATGTATCGACAGTACAACAATCCTAATACATAAAACCTGCTTTTTCTGAAAAATATTTTCGAAATCAGTTAATAATTTCAAAATTAGTAAAGAATTCAGAAAAAATTATTGTTTTAGACGATTGATCTGCTCGGTGTGAAGAGATGGTTTCATACAGGCCTAGCTTGTCAGTTTCTGAATTGCCAAGCTATTCCCGCTGAACTGGAAAAGTAAGTCGCAAAAACATGTAATTTTTGTATCCTTCCTTTGCGAAAATATTTTTTAAACAAATATTTTAAAAATTATATTTTAGAACAATTCAACAAAAAAGTTTGGGTAATCCCGGATGGATAGAAAGTTATCTTATTAGTTTAAAACAGTCAGATGGATTGTGCATAAAAAGTGTATCTAAAACTGAAGTTATAAAAATGGGTCTAGTGTTTCCTCCAAAGGAAATGCTTATCAGGTTTGTCAATCAAAAATCTCTAAAATCGACTGTTTTGGACTTCCATTAAATGTAATGTAATAGTAAATAATAATTTGCGTGCGTTGATTTTTGAGAGGATGGACCAAAATGTCCATTTACGAATGGAGTATGCCCAAAAATTGTTTATAAATAAATAAATAAAGCAAAATTGTATCTAATTACAATAAATATTAAATGAATAGACAAATACTTGAAGATGCTACAATACCGATAATCATGCATAAAAATAAAATGAATCCATGGAAAATGTACGGCTCCAGTTTTAAGGCAATTTGTTTTTTACTATTATAAACATCTTTTCCCACAGCTCTCTTAATTAAGCGTAAATGTCTTTTATTTTAGGAAAGTGATTTGGAAGTTGAGAAGAAAAAATTAGAAATAGATAATGAAAAATTAATTACAGTTTGTGTCTTAACGGAAAAATTTGTCACTGAAGATTTGGGCACCGAAGTAACAATAGACGGTAACTTTTTTCAATGAATGTATATGTATGTAATTCCATTAATTGTGTTTTAAGAACATTATAAGAAATATCGAATTTTACTACAGTCATAATCCTGAAGCTTTTTGACTCATTGAGTCCACTCGATCAACTTCTTCTGAAATGTGCTGCTGTCTTGGGAGAAACTATCGACCGAAAAATGATGGAAAGTTTAATGCAGGGCATAGCTCAAAAAGAAATTGCAAACAGTAAGAATGTGAACTTTGTGCAACGTTATATTATATTAATTAAAAATTATTAATTGCTGCAGAAATTTTGAATTTTAGAAACATAATTATTCTTTATTGTAGCTGTTGCAAAATTATTCGAAATGAGATTATTGGGGTGTGCTGTTGGCGATTTTAACCGCAGTCCCGGACCGTTGATTTTTTTTAAAACTTTGCAAGGTTCAATTTTTGATATTGAAATTCGATGTGGTTGCTCTGGATTTGAAATTGACGGTTGTAAAACAAGATTAAAATTAGTTAAAATAGAAGTTTATTAAATTAAATTTTTCAAGACTAATTTAATATTAAATTATTTTACCAGAGTCTTTGGCAGATTTTCCAAAATATGCCTCGTGTCGATTGATGCGGTTCAAAATGACTCTACTTCGAGAGACAACTTACAAGTAATGCAAACTGATTATTTAAATTTAGTAGCCAATAAAAAAAAATGTATACTTATAATTCAATGTAGGCTTCTCACTGAAAATCAAAAAGTCGAATTCCACAGTAAGGCATTAAAGTATCTTCAGAGAACAACAAGACGTTGTGTTTCATGTGGTGAAGGCAGGTTTGCGAAACTGTTGGGTACAACGACAGTGGAGGAGACAATTCCAAGAGACACATTAGACGTCATTGATCACCTGCTGGAAACTCAGTCTTATTCTCGTAGTTCCTCAAAAGCACTTCATGATAATACTAGTAAGACTAACAATTAGCAATGTCTTTGTCTTAAAATTCCAATATTATTAAATTTTTCTTTTTTCCATGTTCCTCAGAACGACGATCAACAATGACGAAGAAATTGGCAACGTCTTGTTTAACTATTTGTAAATCAGTCGAAAAAGTCCCAACTAGAACTTTTTCTCAAATGGACTTTAGTAATTGTCAATGCAACATGATTCTTTTAACAGTTTATTCACAAATGGTGGACCACTGTCAAGGAATGGGTAAAAGAAACTAAAATCATTAACAAACTAAAGAGTTTGTTTAAATAATAATTTCAAATAATTTATCACATTTTAATACATATAAATGAATTGATGTAATTTGTGGTACACGTCTTTGATCTTTTTTTCTTTCAAATAGGTATGAAAAGTAAATTATTATCAGCAATTCTTGAATTTACTGTCGTCTGTATATCCACTTGCAATATACCTCAAGCCCGAAAGTTGGTTAATGAAGGAGAATTAATTTTAGAACAGGTATTGGAGTGAAATTATCCTAAACGACATGCATTTATTCTTAAATGGTTATTTTAGAGAAATATTGTTCTTCTAGATGAATGGAACAATAAAAGATGATTTAATAACTCTTCCGTTCTTAAAAGGAAAGATTTATACATTGCAAGGAAGATGTTTTCTTGAAAGTGGACTTCTAACAGAGGCGGAAAATTGTTTCAACTTGGCAGCAAAGACAATGGGATATTATTTTCCCAAAAGTCAAATTATGATTAAAATAAAAATGTCAGTTATGCTTAAAAAGTTAAAGAGAATGTTGACATGGCTCAGGCCGTGTAAAGTGGGAATTTTAGATGGCATTGCTGCTGATTATGTCGATCAATTCGCCCATTGTTTAGCTCAAATGTTTACTATATTCAGGGTACAATTTTAAAAAGAAGTTTTATATTAATTTTATTATTAATTGGATGGCATTAAGTTATTGTAAAGTTTATTTTTTAGTTGAAAGGAATGTTTATTCATGCACATTTGGCAGCAATTTGGGGATTAATAGTGGCCCTTGAATCCAGCAAAGATTTTCTCGTTCTCTGCACAGCTTATGCCAATATGATGGTCACAGCTAATTATATCGATCTGGGGTTTGATCAATTTTATAAATACTCTCATTTTTTGTTAATTTTATACTATTTACAGGGCACTAGAAAAGAAATTAGTTTTACTTTTGGTTGAATTTTTTTCAAGCGCCCCTTTGATATTTGCGAAGCTGCTAACAATTTTTAAATAATTTCTCAAATTACAGAAATATTATTTCACATTTGGAAAATGATGGCTTGAGAATTTGCAGTCAAAGGAAAGATGCATTGGAATTGCAAGAATTAAAAGCAGTGGGCGAACTATATTCGGGAATATTCTCCTCCCGATGGTTGCGTGGAATGACTTTGAAATCCTGCAATTTAGGATTTATCGGAAATAGAATTGCGTCAACCGTCCGATCAACTGTTCTGCAATTGACAATTTTACCCAGACTTATTCACGTCATGTTGGTGACTTGTCGAACCGATGAAGCTATTTACTTATTAAACGAAATGGGTAATTAAATGTAGGCATCACAGGAGGTGCATGATTATTCCCCAAATGTCATTTGACCAAACTGCGTCATTTGACCGAATTGCATTTATCCAAACTATTATTTTAACGAAATGTCACTTTTGCGAAACGCCATTTTTACGAATTGTCACTTTTGCGAAATATCATTTTTACGAATAGTTATTGCTCCGAAATGTCATTTTTTCAAATTGTCATTTTTACGAAATGTCTTCTTCTTCTTAAATGACTTTAGGCACTGCCAACTGTCAGAACAATTTTACGAAATATCACTGTTGCGAATTGTCATTTTTGCGAAAATTGCTACAGTAAATCTATATATGCATACAAGTTTACTTGCAATTTTCGCAAAAATGACAATTCGCAACAGTGACAATTCGTAAAAATGACAATTCGTGAAAATGACAATTCAAAAAGATGGCAGTTCGCATAAATGACAATTCGCAAAAGTGACAATTCGCAAAAATGATATTTCGCGAAAATGACGTTTCGAACCAATAACGATTCGTTAAAATGACTTTTCGCAAATGCGTCAATTCGTAAAAATGTCGATTCGCAAAAGTGACATTTCGTTAAAATAACTGTTCCTGACGAATTTCTTTAACTGTAAAATTATTCGAAAACAACAAAAGCTTCTTTTAAAAATAAATATTTAATCATTATTGTTATTTTTCCATAGGAATTAAGATAATTGTAACTTCATCAAAATTATTTTCATCATTTTAATTTAATTAACATTTTCTAGAATTTTTAACTGAATTTTTCTTTAAATCAATTATTTATGTACAATTCTAAAAAAAAGTTCTGAGAATTTCCAAGTGTATTTGTTTACAATTTAGTTTAACGAAATTTCATCGACTATTTGGAAATTCTTCAATTAAATATATATTTGAAAATAAAAACTTCAAATTATTTCAATTAAACTTTTTGAAAAAATTAATTCTACAGAATTATTAAGTAAAAATATGATAAATTCAGATTTTCAAAGATTTCAATTTGAAACTTTTTCAAAATTCAATTATTTCTAAAAATTCACGCTATAATGCTTTTAATATTCAATTATAATTGAAAATTTTAACTAAAATCCATTGTTAAATGGATATTGAATGTAATTGTATTTAGGAAAACTCAATTCATTTTTGCAAATAATTGAAATTTTGCCAAGAATTTTATTAAAATTTTGGAAAATAATTGAATTTTGAAGAAGAATTTTATTATTTATAAAGAGAATTGAAATTTTGACTCGAGAATTTCTTAAAATTTTTTATATAATTGAATTTCTGCTAAGAATTTTATTATTTTTGAAAATAATTGAATTTTTGCAATTATTTGAAACTTCTCTAAAATTAAATTTTTTTTAGTGTTTTTAATTAAAATTCCTCGATAAATTCATTATTTTTAATAATTAATTAAATATTTATATTAAAAAATTTAACTAATTTCAGAATTATTTAAATTTTGAGAATTTTTTCAAAAATGCAAGATTTTTAGAATTTCTAATGAAATTCATTCAAAATGGAAATTTTACAAAATTCAAAATTAAAATCTTTTCAAGTTCATCTTATTTATGAAAATTGTAAACGAAATTATTTTAAAATTCAATTAATTTTGAAATGTGTAAATAAAATTTTATTTATTATTCATTAAATAATTTCTAAGTTATAATTTATTATGATAGTTCTTCAAGAATTAAGATATTTAAAAAGAAATTATTGTCAGAAATGGAAAAAATTGAAGGTTTTGTATTAGAATTTTTGTTTTTCTAGAAAAAACTATTAATAATAATATTTTAATTATTTCAATGTTAATTCATTATTTTTCTAAAGGTCTGCATTCTCTTTAATGAACCATTTTATGATTACACTTTGAAAAAGGTTTCAAAAAAAGAAAAACTTGTTTATTTTTTATTAGAAAAAGATGAAAAACGGGACAAATCAGCAAAAAAGGGGACAAAATTGAAATAAGGGGACAAAAAGGGAAAAGGGGACCAACTGTGATGTCTGTAAATGTTAAACTATTAGTATTTTATTTCCTGCAATTAAAATGAATTATCCACTCTTTCAGAAATGATTTCGAATATTGACATGGACAAATCGGGTAAAACTTGGTATTATGCACTTTGTGTTGATGTTCTTTTGGAAACCAGTATATCAGTCATTCCATTTTATAAGTGCGAACAATTTTTCCAAGAAGAAAGTGACACTATGTTAAATCTGCGAGATGCAGAGGCAGAAAGAAGATTCTTCACTTGCATGTGGCTTTGGTTTGTCCATTTACATTGAGCATAAAATTAAATTGTTTACATATTTTTTTGTTAAATAATAACTCGAAAGGTACGTGCGAGGAGGCGATTGGGAGATTGCAACAGTTTGGAAAAATAGAAGAGTAGCTAACACTGAAGTCGTAATGGATGGACACACAATTTCATCAGCCATTACAATTTTAAAAAGAGTTGAAGGCTTGCTAATACTCTACGGTAAATTTCTGACAATTTAGTTGAAACAAATTCATCAGACTAAAACTAACAAACGAAATTTCTTTCTTTCTAGTAAATAAAGTTGATAACAGAAATGCCGAAGCGGCAGCTGAAACTCTCCAAGAGATACGAGAATTGTTTAAATTTCTTAAGAAACTGCAGAAAATTATAAAAGTCCTTTGTTGCAGGTTAATGAGAATTTGCATTAAAAAAATGATTAATTATAAATATTAAAAATTATAAACAATTAAAATCCCAAAAATCGGCCTCGAGGGATGTCTTAAAAATTTATTCCCCTTTAATTTAAAACAAAGAACACTCAAATCGGTTAAAAATTGTAAGCTGTAGACATTTTTTAATAGTAAATTGTAAAAAAAATTCCACTGTGAGCCGGTGCACTGCAGAAGTAAATGCTTAATTTGACCAGTTAAAAGTTCTTGCCCACGTTTTGACCTATACATTTTTTTTTAGGAAAAGACCTCACCTTTATGAAAAACACATAATATAAGAAATAATTAAATCATATAAAGTTCTATTTCCCTTTTGACAGATACTATTTAATGAGAGCATACTACTTCATGGTTCGTTTTCAAATAAAAAAAAGTTTTAATCTTTTAAAGAAAACTAAAAAATTGGCCAATAAATATCAATTGCTTTTGATATACAAATGGGCCGATCACAACGAAAAGGTAATTAATAAAAGGCCTAATTAAATAAAATTTAGTAAAAATGGAGTACAACACTTGTAATTTTAATTATTTTTAAAGTTTATCAAGATCGATTATTTTCTACAAAAAATGAAACATTAGTTTATATTATATTTCTAACTAATAAAGTAGTAATTATAATTTGTTTAAGGCATGGGCTGGATCCTTGAGTGAAGTTCAAAGAGATTCTTGGATGGACAGACGAATCTCGGGATCATTTACACTTTTACCTAATGCCAATGCAAAGGATACAGTGCTACCCTACACTTTACCAATACCAAAATTTATGCAATAAAAATTTTATCCATTCAAAGAAAAAATAGATGGAAATAAGACAAAAATCTTTTTGACAGAAAAGATAAAAATTTTATATTCTTTTAGTTTTGTGACTATTAGAAAAAGTTATATTTCAATAAATATTATTTTATTTATATAATAATAATCGTAGTTTAAAAAATAAAAGTTTAGCTTTGAAGTCTGTAATTATATTTTTAAAATCTACCTGAGATTTTTATAAGAATTTGAGGAAAGTGTAACTTTTAAACAAAGACGTTTGTAGTAAAAATTCTTTTAAAAAATAAAATTTCTAGCTAAATTCTCACATTTTTTTCTTTTCTCCAATTAGTAGAAAATCTGGTTAAATGTAATTTATTAAACAAAATCTAACCAACTTAATAGGATGAAATTTTGAAAAAATATTGTTTGTATTAAAAAATACTAACAGAATATAAATCAGACAATAATTCCATTCCATATTTTTTATTTTCATGACTTTTTTATAATTTCCATCAAAAATGTCTACTGCTTTCTTATTCTGCAAATTCTAATTTAAATAATTGAATTCCTGAGAAATTTTTATTATATTCACAAAAAAAAACGGAATTATTACGAAGATTTTTAAAAAAATTTTAAATAATTTAATTCTGTTTGGAAGTTTTATGGGTTGGGGTATAGTTTTTCTAAAAAAAAATTTTTAATTTTTTTTCTAATTAAGTTCAATTTCTAAAATTTTTTTTATAATAAAGTTCGACTTCCAAATTTTTTTTCTAATAAAGTTTGATTTCTAAATTTTTTTTTCTAATAAAGATTGATTAGGTATTAAAATTTTTTTCTAATTTTCTTTTTTTAATAATGTTAAATATTATTTTTTTGTTAGCAACTTCGCAGAAGTTGGAATTGGAATTATCGAATTGGAATTGAGACAAAAAATTAAAAAACAAGTAGATTCCAGATATGAAAATGACGTGCAAAATAATGACATTTTATCTTACCTTAGAAGTATCGGACATAACATAAATTTTTAACCTTTGTATTTATATAATTATTTATTTATTTGCTTTATTTACTGTTTTTTGATGATATTTTAAATTTTTTAATAAATTTAATTTTTTACAAAAATGCACTTTAGAAATCATATTTTTAGAAAATTTTATTTTAGAAATAGAACTTTATTAGAAAACGGTTTTTTTTTTAGAATAAATGGATTAGAAAATATTTTTTAGAAAAAGTGACCCCCTACCGTTTTATGAAATAGTAGATATTGAAACTCATTGATTTGCGAAAAGTTTTTGAAAATAATTAAATTTTACAAAGAATTCTATTAAAATTTTGGAGAATTATTGAATGACTGTATGACATTTTATTAAATGTTTTTGAAAAAGATTGAATTTCTTAAAAGCATTTTAAGTATTATTTATGAAAATAATTTGAATTCTTGCGATCGATTTAATTAGAATTTTTTTAAATAATTGAATTTTCGAGAAGAAATTTATTACTTTTAAAAATAATTGAATTCTTGTGATGAATATTGTTATTTATGATTTATAATTTATAAAATATGTATTTATTATTTATAATTTAATTTTTGCAAAGAATTTTATTAAAATTCCAAAAAATAATTGCATTTTCGGGAATAATTTTGTTATTTATCGACATAATTGAATCCTTTCAAAGAATAATTTATGTAAATAATTGAATTCTTAGGAAGAATAATTATTTTATTAAAATCTAAAAGAATAATTGAATTATTTCAAACAATTTTATTAAAATATTTGAAAATAATTGAATTTTTTTAGAAAACTTTATTTGTGAAAATAATTGAATTTTTCGATTAATTAATTTTAAATAGTAATAAAAATAATTGAAATTCTTCAATGAGTTTTACTATTTATGAAAATAATTGAATTCTTGCTTAGAATATATCTAAAGTTTTTTTTTTAAAAATTGAATTTCCATGAAAAATGTTATTATTAGTGAAAGTAATTGAATTATTGTTAAGAATTGTATAAAAAAGTTGTTAAATAATTGATTTTTTCCAAATGTTTTAAAAAAATGCTATTCTAAATTAATTTAATTCCTGTGGAAATTTTATTATTTATGAAAATAATTGAATTTTGGATGAATTTTATCAATTGTTCTTTAAATAATTGAATTCTTTTGGATATGAAAATACTAGATATTGAAAATAATTGAATTTCAAATATTTTCTGAAAATAATTGTATCGTTTTAAAGAATTTTATTATAATAGATGAGTGCGAAGCCTGAAATCAGGATGATCATAAGATTCGGTTAATCAATTTCCTTGACATTAATGTAAGTTCCCTTGAAAAATTTTTTTTATAGGAAGTAATGAAATTTTAAGAAAAATGAATAAAAATTTCTACAGGCTTCACATTTGTTAATTAATTTGATGAAATAACAAAAAGTAGCTTTCAGACTGACGAGAAAAACTCCAATTATTCTAAATAATTTCTGTGAAATTAAATATTATTTTCCAAATTTTTAGTTAGAATTCTTAAAAAATAAGATATAGTTTAATAATATAGTTAAATTTAGAAACAAAATTTTTAAATATTAATATTAAACAAAGTGAATAGGTGATTTCTGAATTTATGAGTATTTTGAAGAAAATAAATATTGAATTTTTTACTTCAACTATTAGCGAACCTTGATAAGTAACTGTAAAGAAAGTTTGAAAGTAGTTGATAAATATCCAAAATATAAAACCAATGAAACCGTATTTAGGCCTTTCTTATTACAAAATAATTAAAATCGAAAAAAAGCAAACACTAGTTTGTAATATTTTTTCTTCATAATTACGTATTTAATTTGAAACAATTCTTAAATAAAAATTCAGTTTGTATTTAATTTATTTACAATCTCGACAATATATTCTCTACCATTCTCTTTTTTTACTTTGAGTTACGCATGTCCATATCCAGGTATTTCTTTCCTTAGGAGCAAAGGCACTTTGCTTATGTCTTGGCTTCACTTTGCATCTTACATACCTTACTCCTTTGTTGTGTACAAAGTAACATCCTCTACAACGCAATCTTAAGTTAACTTTGTATTTCATGCCACATAATTGATTGAAAATTGGTAGTTTCGGTTGTAGTAATAGTCCTGAGCATGCAGAATTGTAATCTTGTAAATTTCCCCCAATTCTCGATGTAATATTGCCGCATAAACTGTGTATATTATGTTTTTCAGTATTTCTCATAAGTACTCTTGGAAATAAACTATTTGCTGCTAGCTGTGTAACTCTTGAGATAATGTTCATTTTTCCTGCACAGACAATTTTTTAATATTTAATGGCAAATTTATATAAATTAAAAAATTCTTAAAAGTAAATTGTAATCACGATGAGGATCGACTAAGTTTTATTCAATTCAAATATATTTCTTCTTTTTCTCTGTTTCTCTTAAAGGAAACTATCAAAAATTGTTATTTTTTTGTAAGTTTGAAATTTTTTTTGATATGTTGAAGATAAAAATTTGCACATGTTATAAACGTTATAAACTTGGTAAAAGTTTTAATTTAAAAAAATGTTTAAATCCTTTTATATTATTTTTTCAGAGTTTTTAAATTTACAGTTAAATATTGTTTTTTACAAGGTTGATTTGATATCAATTTGACATTAATACTTTTTAGTAATAAATTAATTTTTTGAAGATAATATTCAATAGATTTTTTTTTCAAATTTTTATTTGAAGATTTTTCATTAAAACTTTTGAGAATTTAACTATTTTTAGAATTTGCAATTAAATTGCTTCAAACTTTAATTTATCCATTTTTCTATTATATTTTATCATTAAATTGAGAAATTTTGACTTTTATCAAATTGATGTCAATTTGATGAAAATTGAAATTTAATAAAAAAATGCAAAAAATCAAATATACAATTTATTATTGTTTATATTTTCAAAAATTTTAATACAATTCTTCGCAAGAATTCAATTATTTTTATAAATAATAACATTCTTCGGAAGAATTCAATTATTTTTATAAATAGTAAAATTCTTCGCAGGAATTATTTTCAATACAATTTTAATAAAATTCCATTAAAGAATTCAATTATTTTCTGAAAAATTGAATAAATCCATTAAAACAATTCAATTATTTTTTTAAATAGTAAAGTCTTTGCAAACATTGAATTATTTTCAATTATTTTAATTTTTTCCTTCAGGTTATTTAAAATCTTTTTTTCTGTAAAATTCCTTAATTTTCAAAACGTTTAATAAATTTCTTGAAAAATATTCAACTATTTTCTTTAAAGCTTAAGAAATTTCAATTATATTTCAAAAATTCAATTATTTAAAAAATAATTAAATTAATTCTAAAACTGAATTAATTTTAAAAATTCAATTATTTTCAAAATTTTTAATAAATTTCTTGTAAAATATTAAATCATTTTCAATAAAAACTAGAAAAAGATAGAATTTGTTTATAAAAATTTAATTATGTCCATTTTTAAATAAAATTCTTAAAAAATTAAATTTCTTTTTATAGAATTTAAAAACTAAGTTTTCAGAATTTTAAATACAATTTCTTTAAAGAATTCAATTATTTTTATATGCATAGTAAAATTCTTTTGAGGAATTCAATTATCTTTAATTTAATTTTAGTAAAATTTCTCGAAAGAATACAATTATTTTTAAATATATTAATTAAATTCAATTATTTTCAAAAATTCTGATAAAATTCTTCGAAAGAATTCAATTACAGTAGAGACTCCATTATCCGGACCCCTATTATCCGGATATTCGATTATCCGGACAAATTTAAAATTACAAATTTTTTTTTTAATATAAAGTTTACAAGGTCTCAAGCCGTTAATTAACTTCTATTTTAAATTTATTTACACGAAATGTTGCGTTTTAAAGTGTTTTAATTATTTTAAGAAAATGTTTATGTAAATATTTTGAAATATTTCTAACTAAATATTTATTAATGTTGACTTTAAAAGTTTTAGTTTATTTCAGTCTTATTTTAATACATATGCAAATAAATACATAAAATTATGAATAAAAAATTTGTTTAATTCGTACTTTACTCGATTATCCGGATTTTTGATTATCCGGACAAGTGCCTGCATCCATTAGTCCGGATAATGGAGTCTCTACTGTATTTTTAATATAATTTCAATAAAATTTCTCAAAATAATACAATTATTTTTAAAAATATTAAATAAAATTCAATTATTTTCAACAGTTTTAATAAAATTCTTAAGAAAAATTAATTAATGTTTTAATAGAAGTTTTCGATTAAATCCAATTATTTTCAAAATTTTTAATAAAATTCTTTCAAAACATTCAATTATTTTCCAAAATTATGATAAAATTCTTCAAAATAATTCAATTATTTTTATAAATTATAAAATTTTTCGCAAGAATTTAATGATTTTCAGGACATTCATTTTAAAATTGAAAATATTTTTTAAAAAATTATTTTAAAAATTAGGAAACAAAAAAGCAAACAAGATCTAACTTCAAATAGATAACCAGAAAACAACAATATATTAATATATAGATTTATAAATAATTGAATTCCTGTGAAATTTTAATTATTTATGAAAATAATTAAGTGCTTACGTAGAATGAAATTTTTTTTTAAATAATTGAATTCTGTAGGAATATTTTATTAAAATGGTAGGAATTCAAAATCATTGATTTGTTGAAAATTTTTGAAAATAATTGAAATTTAGCCAAGAATTTTATTCAAATTTTTAATTATTGAATTACGGACGATAATTTTGTTACTTATAAAAATAATTAAGAATTTTTTTAATATAATTGAATTTCTGCAATTATTTGTAACTTCTGCAAAATTAAATTATTTTTAGTGTTTTTAAAAAAAATTCTTCTGTAAATCCATTATTTTTAATAATTAATTAAATTTATATAAAAAAATTTAACTAACAGAAGAATTTGAAGTGTTAAAATTTTTCAAAAATTTTTGTTCTTTAAATTTTCTAATTACATTAATTAAAAGTTGAAATTTTCTAAAATTTCAAATTGAAACTTTGTCGATTTCATCAATTTATGAAAATTGTAAACGCAAATCTTTTAAATTTCAATTAATTTTGAAATATTTAAGTAACATTTTTAATTAAATAATTTATAAGTAATAATTTTATGATAGTTCTTAAGTTGTTTAAAAAGAAATTATTGTCAGAAATAGGAAAAATTTAAGGTTTTTTTAGAGTTCGTGATAATTTCTTACTTTGAGGCAAACAAAAATGACACAAAAAATCAAAATTTTCTTATAAATTCTGAAAATTAAATTTTTTCCAGTACTTTTAATAAAAATCCCCGACTTTTTCCTGATTTCCCTGACCTTTGGCAACACTGATCTTTATTTGGAAGGTAAACAAAATTTTCCTAAACGTGAAAAGAAGGAATAACAATTAGGTTAAATAATTGATAAAATTTAAAACAGATGAAAAAAATTGCTTAAAAATTTGTCTATTGTGTAGTCAACCTAAGTGAAAAGAATGTTTAGTTAACTGATCCTCACCGTGTTACTGTATACTTAAAATTATCAATAAACTAGTTTATGTACAATTCGTTTACTTATAGAAAGAAATTCGCATAAGAGCTTTGTTAGATAAGATTCTTTGTTCACAAAGATTTAATAAATATCTTGAAAAACACTTAAAAAGATTTACCAAATCAATATTATAAATGTAACTGCAGTTTTACATTCAGTAGATTTCTTTTATATTCTATTCTCAAGTCAATTATTTTCTCATAATAATTTTAATGAAACTTGTTTATTGAAAAAAATATTTTGAGGTTATGTTTTCCGAGTGTGTGTTTCTTTTTCTTAGCAGAATGAAATTTAGTTTCTAAAATATCCACCAGGTGCTTTTCTTCGACCAATCAGACGAGGACCTTAAGGTTGTTTTCCAATTACCGAACTCAAAGAACGCGCAATTGGTAGAAAAGTCAATAAAAAATTTCTTGTCCAGTTTTTCTGGCTTTGCTCTCGTCTAGGGATTTTTTCCCAGTTTCTGAAAAAAATACGTAAATATGGCCGAGACATAACACGCAAGTTCTTGTGATAAGTGTTTTGTTTGTCTAATTTTTGACAAAATAAACGTGTTTTGAAAGTAAAATTCATTCCTTTGTCGTTTAAAGTCTCTCGATTATTGAGAGCAATAAGTGTTTCCATTGAAAACCTAACCTCGTCGAGTGTAATTTGAATTCTCTCGCGAATAAGAATAATAATGCAGTGCCGAAACCGAAAGTCGTAGAAAGACAATGTTATTGTGTCTTCGTGTAATTGTGAGATTTCGAATCGTGATGGAGAATTTGTCGTGAAATTGTTTCTCTCGAGTTGTGGAAAAATTGGACGAAATGATTGACAAGAATAAAGTGGAAGAGGATCGAAATTGAAAAAAAGTGAAATGTGTTTTTCATGGCAATGAGAGTGACGGTAGCATCTTGTTGAAACGATGGAGGCGGACATCGACGTTGTTAAGGGGGATGGGGGTGGCGAAACTGGGCCAGGATGCTCCGGATATTCGAGCATGGTCCACAGCAAGAAAGTCATAAAACATGCCCTTCGTCAGCAGGCGAAACGGCGGAGAAAAAACACAACGATTGCAGCTGGGAATTCTCGCACTTTGCCACGCATTGTCGTCAAACCCTTGCCACCTCCGCCTCCCAACGATCCACCCTCGCCTGTCAATAATTTACCGCATATTCACTCTGGTAATTAGAAACAATAACACTGCTTATAATAACAATTAGTTTCATTTCTTAACAATTTTATACTTTTTCTTCAAATCTTTTTCCACACTTTTTTCCTTTTACCGCAGGGACGGAAAAACTTTTTATCCTTTTAATCTTTCAATAACAATTATTTATTTTTTCTAAACGTAGACATTTCTAATTTATTCATTAAATTAGTTCGTTTTTTTTGTAAAATTTTCTTTCAAATTGACAAAAAAAAATTCTACTTCTGCAAAGTTCATAAATTTGTTTAAAAAATTTTTTATTTACATTTGTAAATAATCTTTTTAATTAAGATCAAGAAACTATGTAAAATAGTGAAACTGTAAATTAATGTTTTTACACTTAATAGTTGATTATAAACGTTGTGAACTTCGGTATTGTCAATTTGTTTACATTTATAAGCATGAGGCTGAAGCCCCCAACGCTTTTAGAAACTGAAACTGAAGTTACCAACGTTTTTGTCTTTCGCTAAAAGAGAATTTTTTTAAGAGCAAAAATTAATAAATTTTTGATAAAATGAATTATTATTCCCATTATATTCTAAACTGATTTTCAATCTAAGACGGAAAGGGAAGACAATAGGTTGCCACAGGTCAGGGAAATCAGGGAAAAGTCGGGGATTTTTATTGAAAATCCTGGAAAAAATTTAATTTTTAGAATTCATACGAAAATTCTGAATTTTTGTCTTTTTTGTTTTTGTCATAAACTAGAAATTAAATTTTAGAAGAATTGCGTTTACAATTTTCATAAATAAATCAACTTGAAAAGGTTTTAATTTAAATTTTAGAAAATTTCAATTTTGAATTAATTTACACAGAAATTTTAAAGAACTGAAATTTTGGCAAAAATTTTAATAATTCAAATTGTTCTGAAATTATACTTAAATTTTTTATATTTAATTAATTATTAAAAATAATGGATTTATAGAAGAATTTTAGTTAAAAACACTAAGAAAATTGAATTTTGGAGAAATAATTACAGAAATTTAATTATTTTAAAAAGTAATAAAATTCTTTGCAGAAATTCAAATATGTTCAACAAATTTAAAAAATTCAATTATCTTTATAAATAACAAAATTCTTCTCCGAAATTCAATTATTTTCAACAATTTGAATAAAATTCTTGGCAAAATTTCAATTATTTTCAAAAAATTTCCTCAATTCAATGATTTTCAATATCTATTTTAATAAAATTTTCCCAAAAGAATTCAATTATTTAAAAAAATTCTAATAAAATTCTAAGCAAACATTTAATTATTTTCATAAAATAATAAAAATTTCATAAGAATATAATTATTTATAAATTTTCTATAAAATTCTTCGCAATAATTCAATTGTTTTCATAAATAATAAAATTTTTTACAAGGATTCAATTATTTTCATAAATAATTTTCTTCTCTGAAATTCAATTATTTTAATTGAAAGAAATTCTCGTCAAGATTTCAATTATCTTTATAAATATAAAATATAAATTAATAGCAAAATTCTTCCCCAAAATTCAACTATTTTCATATAAATAATAAAATTCTTTTTAGAAATTCAATTATGTTTAGTAATAATAAAATTCATTGCATAATTTAAATTATGTTTAATGTAATAAAATTTTAATTAAATTCCTTGAAAAAAGTAATTTTTTCAAAATTTTAATGTCCCTGAAATTTGCGTCGACCCTTAACGTCGAAAACTATTATTTGCTTCTCTTGCAGACGAAAATGTTGCTAAAATCACTTTTTTATTCACCTAGGGAGTTAAAAATATTTCCCGAGAATTTTTTAAAGGTAAAAACCTCGAAAAAAGTATTTTATTATTTTCGGCTTCGAAAAAAACGCTTTTCAACGCTTAGCGTCGACGCTACTTTCAATGTCTTAAAGTTTATTAAAATTCGTCAAAAGAATTAAATTATTTAAATATTTATTGATAAAATTCTTTATCAGAATTTAATTTTGAGAAACATTCAATTATTGAGTATTTATTTATTGTATTTAAATAATTGAATTCTCGTAGAATTTTCTAATAAAAATTGATTTAAAAATGAATTTTAGATAAAATTTTAGATAATAATTGAATAATAAAGGCATTATAGATTTATGCAAGAATTTTTTCGAAATAATTGAATTTTAAAAATGTTTCAAATTCAAATCTTTGAGAATTTGAATTTTTCATACTTTTAATTTAACTAAGTAACAATTCGGTATAGAATCAATTTTTTTGTAATTATTTGATGTTTTTATATTCTACGTCGAAAATCCTGTAAGAATCACTTTCGTTTATTCTTGTAGCAAAATTTTGTCGAACAGTGTTATAATAAGATTTTTAATTCTTCTTGAATTTTTGTTTGTTGCTTTTTTATAAACAACTTCTGATAATATATATATAATTATCAAGAGATAAGAATTGCTTCCGAGGCGAGGAAAAAATAAATTAGTTGAATTTCCGTGAATTTTGGAAAATCCGTGAAAGAAAATCGAAATCACTGCTTTCATCGACTGGATCCTTTCACAACTTAAAAATTCGAATTAGAATTTCTTTATTTTGTCCTAGGAAATATACTTTCTAGTATAAATTTGTTTTAATTTTAGATGAATAATTTCATTCAATCAAAGAAGAAAGATTAAAATTCATCTTTTAGTTAAAAAACTTTCAAATATGAACAAAATATTTTATTTAAATATTTATTTAAAAAAAGTATTATAATTATTGAAAACTAATGTAAAATGAATGGTAGTTGTTGAGGAACCTGCTGCCACGATGCGAGAAGTATTAGCCAGTTTGCCAGGATTCAGCTTGAAATCGGGCCGAAGACGTTCTACGAAGAGGCTATCGGCAGCAGCGCAACTGGAAGCAGGATTAGTTGATCTCGAATCTCCGGCTAGTATTCTCGCGAGTACGAGCTTGCGTGCTCTACTAAACAGGCACACGTTTCAAGGCCTTCCTCCTTTGTATCAGAGAAAACTCGCCCAGTTGTTACCATCAGTCGACAGACAGGTAAAAATTCTTTCCACAATAACGTTTTCTTTCTCTAATACTCAACAGTCGATTTACATTTGTTCTTCTATTTGTTAAAGGATGCCGCCATCTCAGGGTTGAATAACGAGTTTTTCGCGAGGGCCTGTCTGGAATGGCGGAAGCGACTCGCGGAAGGAGAATTCACACCTGAGAATCAGCAGCGTTTGAAAATGGAAGCGGAGAGAGACAAGAACAAATTGGATCCATGGAAACTGAAGCATTTCGAGCCGATTTGGGGCGAGAAGCGAGAACCAAAATTGAGAACAGGATTCCACTGCACCGAGCCGCGATCCGTTGGCGCTGTGACGCGCTCGAGTCTTCGTCTGCGGCCCGAAATGAACGTGGACCAAGTGACACCGGAGAATACCCGCTGCCTCACCACAGGCGCAGAGGAGAAAATGGAACAAGTCATTTGCGCCTCCGAGGCAATCGTCGACGTCCCTGACAATGTTCCCAGTGCTCAGGACATTCAACAAAACTTACCCGAGTTCAACGTCACTGTACAAATTTTGGAGGACGAGAATCTAGAAACTGTTAATGTAAATATAAATCCCGAGGAAATTACAAAAGATTCCGTCGAAGAGCAAACGGAACAGAGTGAAAATACCACCGAAACTCCCCAAGTTGAACAAATTAATCCCGAGTGTCAACAAGTAAGTCCAGAAGTGAGACGAAAAGGTCCAGAATTACGACAGAAGAGCCAAGAGGCGAGAAAAATAATCGAGCAAGAAGTTAACGAGGAGCAAATTGTCGAAACCGAAGAAATCCACGAACCAGAGGAAGAAATCTTACACACCATCGAAATTTCGCCCAACAGTGAAATTTCCCAAAACGAAGAAATCCCCCAGACTATCGAGCTGCAAGTGCAGGAGGAAATTCTCGACTGGGACAAAATGCAGAATATTCAACAACCCAATGAAGAAATTGAGTGCTTGTCAGACGAAATTTCACAAACATCAGAGGAACTCTCTCAAACATCAGAAGAGCAACAACCTCTTCATCAATTTAATAAAGAAGAATTCTCTCAACTCACCGCCGAGCAAATTTATCAACTCGAGTGCGAAAATAATTCTGCCTCACCTCAAGATCTCATCGCCGACGACAATGAAATGATAATCAATCAACAAGTTCATGAGATGCAAAATGAAATTCACGAGAATCGAGAAATTCATCAGGAGATTCATCAGGAGATTCGTCAGGAGATTCGTCAGGAGATTCATCAAGAGATTCATCAGGATATTCATCAGGATATTCATCACGACATTAATCAAGAAATCCATCAAGAAATTCACCAAGAAGTTCATCAGGAAATTCATCACGAAGTTCATCAGGAAATTCACCACGAAATGAGTCAAGAGATTCTTCAGGAGATGAATTCGGAAATACATCACGAGATGCATCCGGAAATTCATGAAATCCATCACGAGATGCATCGTGAAATGAATCACAAGATACAACAGGAAATGGAGCACGAGGTTCAGCAACAAATGCATCACGAAATACAGCAGGAGTTGCGCAACGATATGCAGACGGATTTGCAGACTGAAATACAATCGGACATTCAAACTGACATGCAAGGCTCGAATGAAAATTGCACAGACCCCGAATCACAACTTCCAGAGGGAATGGAAATTGACATTGAAACATTGCAACGCATTCACGAACTAGAAGTTCGCGGGGAAATGAGAGGCGTCTATGAAGAAATGTCCGGATGTCCGGAGGAAATAATATATCCGATTTTGGAGGGAATGGAAATTGGTTCGACAGGGGAGGAGGAGACGGAGGCCTCCGTCATCTCGGGACCCGTGGAGGATGTTCAGGTCCAGGAGGTTGAACACCTTTCGGTTGGCAACGAAGACGAGGCCCTGCGAGAGGCAAACAATTACGTTTGCTCCGAAATGTTGGAATGCAGCTGGGCTGTTGACCCAAATGTCGGAGCCGTTAACAATCCCAATGCCAGAGTAAATTTAATTTTTTTCTTAATTAATAATTCCAATAACAGCTTTTAAACATTTTTTTTGTTTCTTTCTTTTTTCCATTAATCATTGTCATTGTGCAGGCTCAGGAAGAAATTCAAGTTTCATTACCATTGGTCACTTCACTCGACGGATCTGTAGCCGCAAATATCACCGTAACCACTCACGACGAAACATCAACGACCACCGACTCGACGAATCCTTCTCAGTTCATCACATCCGAAGCCCACACGGAGCCCATCAATTGCATTCAATTGCCGGTGGTGCAAAGCACGCCCTTTCAGTCCGAAACCCTAGCGATTGGCACGCCAGTCACGAACTGTCTGATGAAGAACTTGCCCGCGCAAAGTTCGCCGATAATTGCATTCCCGCAATTGCAATCGATTCGATTCCTGCAGACGAGCTTTCACTCGGGCCACGGAGCGCCGCAGAGCATTACTGCGGCGAACGCGATTCCCGCTCAGATTCAGGCGCAACACAATCCTCAGCAGCAAGTGAGTATTGTGAGGCCTCACGAGGAAATCGTCCAGATTGGAACGCAGAACAATGTCGTGCACAACACACTGCAAAATGGCGTTCAACAAAATCCGACGCCGGACAATTTACAAACTGCGGTCACTGTCCAACATCAGAATCATGGACCGAATGCGATTGTCATTCAACATCAAGCGCCAATTGCGGCGCAGTCGAGACAAATTGTCGCCACGCTGCAGTCGCAGCAGCCACAGCAACAGACGCAGCAATATCCGGTGGTGGCGGTGAGTTCGAGGCCCTCGAGATCGACGCAGGGAGGACAGAGGTCGAGGGCTAGCAACAAGGAGCAGGGCGGAAGAGCGAGGAGCTCCACCAAGGAACCACCTGGGGCTGTTAATTTGGAGCGCAGCTATCAAATTTGTCAAGCGGTGAGTTTTATCTTGTATTACCAGATAATTTCAACTTTTAAAGAAACGATTATTGGGATCTCTACATTTCCCCTTTTTGAATGTAGAAACACTTATTTTGTAAATGTTCAAAGAGGATTATGTTGGTGAAAATTTTCGATTGTGATTTTTTGACATACAGTACCGTCCGCAATTGTCAGTCCACCTATTTTTAAAGGAATGACAAAAATTTTTTAACATAAAATTCATGAAAACTAAAATTTTTTTTGGTTTATATTTTGAAAGACGATAAAATTTTGAAAAGAATAAGACCTTACAGAAGTCATTTGGCCAAAATTTGTAGAAGATATTCCTAAAAATAGTCATTTTCAATGTTTTACAAAAATTTAAATAACTTCTAAAATAATGAACGCTTTTTAATAATCTTAGGCTTATTTTAAAGGTCTTTTTCTACGGAATAAGAATTACTTATAGGCATTAACCTGTCATTTTTAACTTGGAATAAGCATGACGTCAAAATTGGACAAAAAAATTGGAAAAATTTAAAATCAATTTTTTGTACTAAAAACTATTCTAGAACATATATAAAACATGATATGGTGTAGATTTTTCAAGAAAATTTAATAAAAATATATGTTTGAATTTCAAAAATTATTTTTCTTTTCATAATATTATTTCAAATTTTTTGAATTTTTTTGTCCAACTTTGACGTCATGCTTATTCCAAGTTAAAAATGACAGGTTAATGCCTATAAGAAATTCTTATTCTGTAGAAAATGGTCTTTAAAATAAGCCTAAGATTATTAAAAAGCGTTCATTATTTTAGAAGTTATTCAAATTTTTGTAAAACATTGAAAATGACGATTTTTAAGAATATCTTCTACAAATTTTGGCCAAATGACTTCTGTAAGGTCTTATTCTTTTCAAAATTTTATCGTCTTTCAAAATATAAACCAAAAAAAATTTTACTTTTTATGAATTTTATTTTAAAAAAATTTTGTCATTCCTTTGAAAATGGGTGGACTGACAATTTCGGACGGTACTGTATTTCAATTTACTATAGATTGAATTATCTCCGCAGTTAGTGCGATGATAATTAGTCAGAAACAAGGGACGAGTCTTAAGAGATTTAGGTGGAGCATTAAAATTGAAATTAGATAATATATCTGGACAGTCAATAGAACCATTAAAAAATATCTGATAAAATATTAACCGATATCGATTGTTCAAACGTAAATCATACCCGTCACGAAACACACACAAACATTCACTCTCGATGTCGATATACAATCCATAAATATGAACAAAATATAATAATATCGGGGTTGCATAAATTAGTCAAAGAAAATTATTGAGAGGCGAAACAAATGTAATGGGAATACTAATTCACAACAGAAATTGTTTATAAATGCGAAGTAAATCGCAAGTTTGCTGATTTTTAAAATTTCCTATGTGAATAAAAAAACGATACATTATTTCACTAATTTTTTTTTTTTTTATTAAGATCAGGGTAAAGTAAAATTGGTCAGGGAAAAGTCAGGGATTTTTACTAAAAGTACTGGAAAAAATTGAATTCATGAGAAAACTCTGAATTTTTTTCCTGTTTGCCTCGTAAATTATGAAATTACCCCGAATTTTAATACAAAACCTTCAATTTTTTCAATTTCTGACAATAATTTCTTTTTAAATAACTTAATTTTTCAAAAACTATCATAAAATTATGACTTACAAATTATTTTATAAATAATTTTTACAATTTTCATAAATACTAGATTGATAGAAGAATTTCAGTTAAAAATACTAAAAAAAAATTGGATTTTGGAAAAGTTACAAATGATTACAGAAATTCAATTATTTTCAAAAGTTACAAAAATTCTTCGCAAAATTTCAATTATGTTCAAAAATTAGAAAAAAAATCTCGTCAAATTTTCAATTATCTTTATAAATAATAAAATTCTTCATCGAAATTCAATTATTTTAAAAAATTTTAATAAAATTCTTGTCAAAATTCCACAGGAATTCAATTATTCAATATTTAATAAATTTTTTTGTAATAATTCAATTATTTTTCAGAAGTAATAAAATTTTCACAGGAATTCAATTATTTAAAATACAAAATTTCATAAAATTTTTCGAAAAATATCAATTATATAAAAAGATTTTTATAAAATATTTTCATGAATTCAATTATTTTTATAAATAATAAAATTCTTCACCGAAATTCAATTACTTTTATAAACTTGAATAAAATTCGTTGGAAGAATTACATTATTTTCAAAATAATAAAATTCTTCGTAGAAATTCAATTATGTTCAAAAATTAAAAAAGAAATATTGTCAAAATTTCAATTATCTTTATAAATAATAAAATTCTTCATCGAAATTCAATTATATTTAAGAATTTTAATAAAATTCTTGTCAAAATTTCGTAGGAATTCAATTATTCAATTCTTAATAAATCAATTCAAAATAATTCCATTATTTTCATAAGAATTCAATTAGTTAAAATACAAAATTTCATAAAATTTTTCGAAAATTATTAATTATTTAAAAATATTTTTATAAAATTCGTCGCAAGAATTTAATTATTTAAAAAAATTGAACATAGTTCTTTTTAAGAATTCAATTATTTTTATAAATAATAAAATTCTTCACCGAAATTCAATTATTTTTATAAACTTGAATAACACTCGTTGTAAGAATTTAATTATTTATATAAATAATAAAATTTTTCTCCGACATTCAATTATTTTATGAAAATTTTAATTATTTATTTAATTATTATTTTATGAATTATTTTTCATACAATATTTTAATCAAATTCCTCGATAAATGTAATTATTCTTAAAAATTTTATTAAAATTTGTCAAACGAATTCAATTATTTAAAATTTTATTGATAAAATTCTTTATGAGAATTCAATTTTAACAAACATTCAATTATTCAATAAATTATTTATTTTTTAATTTAAATAATTAAATTTTTTTAGAATTTTCTAATAAAAGTTGATTAAAAAAATGAATAAACGAATTATCGATTTATTATTATTTATAAAAATAATTGAATTATTGCAACGATTTTTATTACATTTTTTTTAAATAATTTAATTTTTTTGTGAAATTGTACTTCTTGTAAAAATAATTGAATTCTTGCGAAGGATTTTCTTAAAGATTTTTGTAAATAATTAACTTATTTTAAAAAATTTTATGGCAATTTAAATTATTACAAAACATGAATAAGACGATTCTTATAAGTTATTGAATTTCAAAAAGGTTTAAATTTGAATATTTTGAAGAATTTTAATTCCTACAGAAAAATAATAATGATTAAATATTTATTTAAGAAAGAGGTTATTGATGTTTTTAAATAATTTTACAATTAAAGAAGTTTGTAAATAAATGTAATAGAACATTTTTTTTGAGTATCTAATAATTTTTAGAGTGAATCAGAATATTCTTTAGGGTCAGGGAAAAAGTGAAATTTTTTTCTGGAAATCAGGGAAAAGTCAGGGAAAAATAAAATTAAATATTTGTGGCAACCCTGCTTTAAGTGAAAAACAATTATTCAGTGTTCCTTTGCAAAAAAATAATCTACGTGTCGGAAACTTTTGAAGTTTTTTAAAAAAATTGAAGTATTTTAATGGAAACACTGGTTCGATGAAGCTTATCCACAAAAATGTCTTCTTAAGTTAAGGATGACATTTTTGTGGATTAAAAGTCATCTTTGTACATTAATGAATCTTGTGCTTAGGGCTTTAAAATTTTTGAGTTATCTTATAAAGCTATTAAAAAAATTGAAAATTATTAAATAAAATTTGCATTTTCGGTTTCAGGTCATTCAAAGTTCACCAAATCGAGATCAATTGAAAGCGCACTTGAAACCACCGCCCAGCTTACTGGCGAGAGGCGATGGCGCTTTCACAACAACAAAATCTGGAGGCAGAACAATCACTACTGTTAAGACTCAAAAATCTCAACAATCGAACTCACATAACAAGCAGACGAAAGGTCAAGCTGTTATGCTGAGACATGTTTTTACCACTGCTCGTCAAACGGCGCCTGCAGAGGTAAGAACTCTGCTTAAAAGAAAACGCTTGGTAAATTTCATTTTGATTATCTAACATTTTTAAGTAACTGTAGAAAACTTTAAACGGTAGAAAACACTTCTACGGATCTGGCCTTTTAATTTCATTTTAATTCTCAATATTTGTCGAATTTTTATTTTTTTCAAACTTCATCTGCAAGTTCTTCTTTGTTATTAGTGTTTTGATATTTTACATGTTTGAAAATTTATTTTTGCTTTATTTGAAGGTTATTTTATTTTATATACGAAATATAGATATTCAAGTTGGAAAAGACTGCGTAGAGCGAAAAGTACATAATAATAAAGTATAAGATTCTGTTAAATTCCGAAAGTCATAATTTGTAAAACAAGAAAGTGATGTTTTATCGAATCCTTTTTGATTTCAATTAATCCACTTTTAAATGGAAATTAGTATTATAATTTAAGAGTAGGTTGTGACCACTCTTGCTGCAGCCACTAACGTTTAGCGCCCCCAAAATTGCTACTCCGAAACCCGAAATATTTTTTACAAAAAATTTCAATAAGCTTAATAGTTTAAAATTTTATGAATCTGAGATAAAAATCAGAAACAAATTGAAAACCTATTTACTAACAGAATTCAGACAAGTTTAGTAAACTCTTAAAATTTTTGGTTCCCATATTGGACCATTAACGTCCAAAACAAGAAAATTCTTTGATCAACTTCAACCTATGCTTTTATGAATAAAACGGATCATATTTTATAACAAAAATATGTTTCTTGTCGGTTTTAAGTATGTTCTTTTCGATTCCGGTGTGAAAAAGGAATTTCGTTCAACCCAAAATTAAATATAGTGGTTTTAATTTAAAAAAAACACGAAAAAGTATAAAAATCGCGATGGGCCTGCCTTGAGTATATTCCCCTACGTAAAATAAATAATGTTTGCTAATTTGAATTTTTACATTAGATTTGCATTCAGAAACCCCAAAAACCCTTAGATCCAAAGTTTTATGGATTTTTACGTAAAATAAATAAAATGATGTCCCCCATTTTGGATCCGATATTTTGAAATTTTAAATTTGAACCTCAGACCCAACAAATGGATCGGAAACAGTGAAGAGGTTAAAATTAATTAGCCCAAATTTTATCTGCAGGGTTGCCACGCAACCTAAATTGAATTTTAAAAGAGTTGCGTTTACAATTTTCATAAGTACAGATGAATTTCAAAAGATTTAAATTTAAAATTTTGTAAAATTTTAATTTTGAATGAATTTAATTTTCAATTGTCTTAAAGAACGTAGATTTTTGAGAAATTTTAATTACTCCAATTTTTCTGAAATTAGTTAAATGTTTTAATATATATTTTTAATTGATTATTAAAAATAATGGATTTATAGAAGAATTTTAATTAAAAACACTAAAAGAAATTAAATTTTGAAGCAATTAAAAATGATTGTAGAAATTCAATTGTTTTCAAAAGTAGTAAAATTCTTCTTAGAAATTCAATTAATTTTAATAAAATTTATGGCAAAATTTCAATTCTTTTCAAAAACTTTTATCAATTCAATGATTTTTTTAATAAATCTACTACTTTAATGAAAATTTCCAAAAGAATTTAATTATTTTAAAAAAATTTTAATAACATTTTACGTTAACATTTCATTATTTTCATAAATAATAAAACTCATGGCAGACTTTCAAATATTTTTAATACAATTTTAATGGAATTCCTCGAAAAATGAAATTATTCTTCAAAATTTTATTAAAATTCATCAAAGAAATTCAATTATTTTAAAAACCTTTGCTACAATTTATTTATTAGAATTTAAGTATTATTTTCTATAAAGTTTTAATTAAATTTCTTGAAAAAATTAAACCATTTTCAAAAATTTTAATGAAATTTGTCAAAATTAAATTATTTTTAATATCTACTATTTCAATAAAATTTCATAAAAGAATTCAATTATTTAAAAAGACATTTTAATAAAATTCGTCTCAAGAATTCAATTATTTTCTTCGCAGAAATTTAATTGTGTTCAACAATTTACAAAATTTCAATAATCTTTATAAATTTTTCTCCGGAATTCAATTATTTTCAAAAAATTATATAAAATTCTTGCCAAAATTTCAATTATTTTCAAAAACTCTTTTAAAGTTCTTTGGAGAAATTCAATTATTTTTAATAAAGTTTTAATGAAATATCCGAAAAATGAACTTATTCTTAAAAATTTTATTAAAATTCGTCAAAAGAATTGAATTATTTAAAAATTTGTTGATTAAATTCTTTATGAAAATTCAATTTCAAGAAACATTCAATTATTTAATAAAATATTTATTTTTGTATTTAAATAATTTAATTCTCATCCATTTTTTTTAGTAAAAAATTGATATAAAAATGAATTTCAGTTAAAATTTTAGATTATTATTGAATATTTAAATCAATATTGCGTGAATTTTTAGAAATAAATGAATTTTGAAAAGGTTTCAAATTAAAATCTTTGAAAACTTGAACTTTTCGTACTTTTTGATAAACAATTCTGTAGAATTAATTTTATAAAAAAGTTTAATTGAATTTTTCTTTAATTCTTCATGTTTTTATTTTCTAATATATTTTTAATTGAAGACTGTCAGAATAATCGAAATTATACGTAAAAATTGATATTGAAAATAATTGAATATTTACGAAGAATTTTATTATTTTTGAAAATAATTGAATTCTTGCGAACAAATTTTGTCAATTTTAAAAATAATTGAATTATTTCGAAGAATTTTATTCAAATTTTTGAGTATAATTGAATTCCTGTGAATAAATTTATTATCTATAAAAATAATTAAATTCTTGACAAGATTTTTAAGGAAATTTATAATTAATTTTTCTCAAAAAGTTTAATGGAATTTTTTTAAATTATTTAAAGATTTTAATTTCTAATTTATTTAATTGAAGAATGTCAGAATAATCGAAATTTTAGATAAAAGTGAATTGTACACAAATGGATTTAAAAATTCTCAAAGAAGAACTTTTTAAAAAATTACAAAGAAAAATTGAGTTCAAGAAGAATTTTATTTAAAAATTCTAGAAATGAAGAATTGAATTGAAATGAAAATAATTTTGAAGAAATTACAGTAACAATATTTTTATAATATAAAATAATGATAGTATCAAGTATTAATGATTATAAAACATGAAGAAAGCGATTACTTTGAGTCGAAGACTCGGAGTGATCGATATCTTCATGTTTTATAATAAAATATAATATTCTTATACCTATGTTATTGAATTTAAAATTTTTGAAAATGTTAATTTCTGTAAAAAAATAATAATTTAAAAAACGAAGTTATTGATTATTCATTTAAAAACGAAGTTATTGATGTTTTCGGGTAATTTTGCAATTAAAGAAATTCGTAAATAAATGTAATAGAACAGGAAAAAAGTCGTTTTGTCTGGAAATCAGGGAGTTTGGTAAAATTAAAAATTAAATTAAAAATTAAACTAAAATTAAAAATTAAATTTGGTAAAATATAAATGTAGTTTTAAAAACCTGGAATAATTCCGTTTTTTAACCTGGAAAAGTCAGAGAATTTGAAATGAGGAAAAGCGTGGCAACCCTGATCTGATAAACTGTAAAAGACAAAACTTTCTAAAACATTTATTTTCAGAGGAAAGAACTTTTACAAAGCAAGTGTTTAATTTGAGTAAATTTGTTACAGGCCAATGAGACCAATGCGGTGACACAAATAAATTCGAACGGCAACGGAGGACTCGGTCAGTATATTCTCGTGCAGAGAACGGGCGTCGGAGACAGCGCGCCTCGAGCGTCGTCGGCGCCACCCTTGCCGCCGCAGATAGCGGGCATGGGAGTCGGCGTGCACCTGGTGCGAGGAAGGCCGGCCAGCGCGGGCGAGGGATCTCATCAGGCCGTCACTCTGAAGGCGAGAGGGGCCCTGGACGGCCGGGGAGGCGGCGGCGCCGAACCTGGGGCGCCGGGCGTCATCATGGGCGGCGACCCACCTCCGCCCTGGGAATGCAATATGCGAGGAGCGATGGTCATTTGTCGTCAATGTGGTGCTTTCTGTCACGACGATTGCATTGGGCCTCAACGTATTTGCGCTACTTGTCTCATTCGTTGATCATTTTTCCTTAATAATGTAAACTCATATTCCAAACAAAACTTGGAAGCAGAGTGCCGGATCAATTTATCGACTCAGTTTTTATATACTTTCAATATTAACTGTTAAGCTTTCGCCAATATTTTCAATTGGGAATCATTATTTTCCCTCAAATTCTATTTGTTCTTCGGCAAGATGACACAGGCTTCGCACTCATCTACTAAAACCTAGTATTTACTACTTTTTTACGTTCTGCTTCTATTTGGGCACTTTTTTAGATTTCACCCACTAAAAGCTACTATTTCTGTTTCTTTCTTTTTTTGAGAATTTCCACTACTTTAAATTCGCTAATACTATAGAAATGAAAAAACTTTTCTTCAAAATTATAATCAAATTCTTTAAAACGGTTCAATTGCTTTAAAAAATATTCGAAATTCAATTTTTTTCAATATCTTCATTATTTCAGTATTTTAATTAAATTTCACAAAACAATTATTTAATTATTTTTAAAAAATTGATAGAATTCATCAAAAATTCAATTATTTTCAAAAATAATAAAATTTCGACATGAATTCAATTAATTAAATTTAAAATTTAAATAAAATTTGAAAAAATTAATTATTTAAAACAATGTTTATAAAATTCTTATAAAGAATTCAATTATTTTCAAAAATAACAAAATTTTCCACAAAAATTCCATTCTTTTTAAATATTTCAATAAAAATTCTTGTCAAGAATTCAATTATTTTTGAAAATTTAAAAAAAATTCTTAACAATTATTCAATTATTTTCATATTTAAATAATAAAATTCATCGCAGGATTTCAATTATTTTTAATACAATTTGACAGGAATTTCTCGAAAAATGTAATTATTCTAAAAAATTAATTAATTTTTTGTAATTAAAGAATTTTTTAAAAGTTTTTGAAAACTAATTGAATTCTATGTAGAAATTTTTATTTTTTTGTAATTGAATAATTTTAAAGGATTTTATGTAATATTTTGATAATAATTCAATTTCTGCTAAAAAATTTATTAAATTGTTTGAAAAGTAATTGAATTCTTTATAGGAATTTCTATTTTTGTTTGTAATTGAATTTTTATAACGAATTTTATTAAAATTTTGAAAATAATTAATTTTTCTTCAAGAATTTTATTATTTATAAAAATAATTGAATTTTTTATAGAAATTTTCATTTTTTGTAATTGAATTATTATAAAGGATTTTATAAAATTTGTTGAAAATAATTGAATTTCTGCGAAGAATTTTATTAAATATTTGAAAAATAATTTAATTCTTTATAGAAATTTTTTATTTTTTTAATAAAATTTCGCAAAATAATTCAATTATTTAAAAAAAATGTTTGATGAAATTCTAACCAAGAATTCAATTATTTTCATAAATAATAAAATTCATCGAAGAATTTTAATTATTTTTAATATTACTTTAAATTAATTAATAGAAAAATTCAATTATTTTCACAAATAAAATTTTTCACAAGAATTCAATTATTTTCAAAAGTAACAAAATTTTTCACAGAAATTCAATTATTTTCATTAATAATAAAATTCTTCTTGAAAATTCAATTATTTAAAAAAATTCTAATAAAATCGTTCGCAAGAATTCAATTATTTTCATAAATAATTAAATACTTTTTGGAATTAGAATTTGGATAAAATTGGGCGAAAGAAATGAATTATTTAAAAAATTTTATAAAATTCTTCGCAAATTATAAATAAATTATAAATTATTTTTATAAATATTGAAATTCTTTCATGAATAATAAAATTCGTTGCTGGAATTCAATTTATTAACAGAATAAGAAAGAAGTAAATATTAGGAAAAAGTCAGGAAAATAAAAAATATGAAATGCAATTTTTGTCAGTTTTGTGAAGTGTCTAAAATGTGTTTTTTTGTCGTCATGTTTAATTTATCGATAGTTACATTTTTTTAGTTTAAAAGCTATTTGTTTATAATTAATCATCGAGTGCGAAGTCTGACGACAATTCTTTATTTATTTAATGATAAACGAGTAATAGTTTTATTTTACATAATTCTTATGTACATCCATATTTTGTGTTATTGAAAATTTTCAATATTTTACAAACATATTATTTGAGGAAGAATAATAATTATGACCCGTTTGAATTTTTCTCTATAGTCTATATTATAATCTCAAGAAATATTTTATTGTCTTTGAAAATTTTCAACTTTACAATGTAAATAACGTGCTTCAATTTGTTTATTATCTATATTAGATTTGTGTAGAATTGAGGCATATACATATATATTTTAGTAATTGTCTAAAAATTGCAGATGGTAGCTTTTTAGATATTTCAAAAGGAAAACAGTACATTTGACACTCTGAGTCGAAATCCCTTGAATTTTTCAAGAGTGTCGGGGATACAGGAAAAGAAAAAAAATGTGATGAGCTTCTGTTTTGCTTTTTCTGGATTAAATGTAAATCTTAATCAAAATAGTCTATTTTTAACGTAGGTTCTTTTATATTCTTTTTTTTTTTTTATAAACATCGTGTGTATTTTGTGCAGTCTAATTTTTATACCTTGATGAAAATAATTATAAGTCTCGCCCACCTTAAAACAAAAAGTACTTTTAAGCTACTCGTAAGTCGAAAAAGCATAATTTCTAATTGATAAGTTGAAATTCGAGATAAGTTTCTATTGAATCATATTATGTATATATTTATTATAATAATTTATTTTGACGATCGGGTTTGAAAGAATCAAACTCGAAATAATTTTTCTACAATACATCTGATCTGCATCACAAGCAAAACAGAAAATTAGTTGATATTAAAAATTATGGCATAATATTAACAAGTGTGATTTAACAAGTAATGTAAAATTACGAAAAGAATATTAAAAATTTTAAAAGTGTAAACTTGTATCCCTAGACACTAGGAGAAAAGTCTAATACAGTTTAACTCAATATCGTCTTCCATTGACATCACATTAAGTTGCAATTTAATTATTTATTTATTGTCATGAATTTTGATTCTCATTTTAGTTAGTCAAAGAGATTCATTTAATATAGAAAAATTTCATTTTCTTGATTAATTTTGTCAAATCGCCAGGGAAATCTTTTGCAAAAAAAACTACTTACACGTAGAGAAGTTAGCATTTAAGCTTTATCATAAGCAGTAGGTGAAGTTTGATAGTTTAACTGAACCATGTTACTTCCTCGAAAAAAAAATTAGGAAAGTTTCTCTTAATTCTCGTAAATTCTCCAAGCCTCGTAAAGATAACAAAAACAAAGAAAAAAAAAGAAGAAATTCAAGACTACTAGTTTAAGTTTTATTTCAAACACACAATTTGTACATAGAACTCGCTGAATCATCCGTTCTTTTATTTTTCACGTCTTTTTGTTACAGTTTTTGCGTAATACGTATCTTAAAAAACAATGTGATTCGTTTCATTCATTTACACACATGTATTAGTAATTGCCATTTATTTTTTAACTATTATTAAATATTACGATAATTGAACGGCAAGATAATGTGTATTCATCGCTCAAATGTAAATAAAATCATATTCGTTCTAACTTTAGATGGTCTTTTCATTTAAACTATCCAAAGACCAAATTTTTAATTATTATTTACTATGAAGAAAACATGATCTTTATTTCGACTTATTAATGTATTTATTTATCATGAATTAAAATCGTTTAATTTTATGTGAAAAAAAATGAAGGAAAGGGTATCGTCAATTTATGCAGATCCGGAGAAATTTTGCGAATAACTAAATATTACTAATCTTTTAAAATTAAAATCTTAATCTAAACTAGAGCAAAATTTGATCCAGTTATCTCAATTTGTATTTTATTAAGATAAATAACGGTCAAAAATGGTCCTATTAAGATAAATAACGGTTTTTTTAATTAAAGATTTTTAAAGATTTATTTACAAAATTATTTACAGAATTCTTTAAGTAATGAAATTTTTCCCTGGATCAATGTTTTTAATTTTCAGGGTCAAAGAGAAAAGTAATAAAATTCTTTGCAAAAATTCAATTATGTTCAAAAATTTTTAAAAATTCACGTCAAAATTTCAATTATCCTTGAAATAATAAAAGTCTTCTCCAAAATTCAATTATTTTCGAAAATCTTAATAAAATTCTTGGCAAAATTTCAATTATTTTCAAAAATTTCCATTATTTCAATGATTTTCAATATCTATAATTTAATAACATTTCCCAAAAGAATTCAATTATTTAAATAAATCTTAATAAAATTCTAAGCAAACATTTAATTATTTTCATAAAATAATAAAAATTTAACAGAAATCCAATTAATTTAGAATAACAATTTCAAAAAAAAATTCGAAAAAATCAATTATTTAACAAAATTTTTATACAATACTTCACAATAATTCAATTACTTTTACTGGTAATAAAATAAAATGTAATTATTCCTAAAAAATTTAATTTTAATTCCTTGCAAAATTAATTATTTAAAAAAAATTTTTCTTTAAAATTCTTTAGAAGAATTCAATTATTTAGAAAAATATCAGAATTTTTCACAGGAATTCAATTTTTTGCAAAAAAATTTTACTAACTTTTTGAAAATAATTGAATTCTTTCAAGAATTATAAAGAAAAATTGTATCGAAATAATTGAAATTGGGCGAAGAATTTTTATTATATTATAAAAGTAATTGAATAATTTTAAAGGATTTTATATAAAATTTTTCGAAAATTATTGGATTTCTGCCAAAAATTTTTAATAAAATGTAAAATGTAAATTATAACAAATTTTCTTAAAATTTTGAAAATAATTGAATTTTTCTTCAAGAATTTTATTATTTATAAAAATAATTGATAAATAATTGAATTTTTAAAAAAAATTGTTATTTTTTTGTAATTGAATTATGAATTATTATAAAAAAATCCTTTGATTTTATACAATTTTTTGAAAGTAATTAAATTTTTGTGAAGAATTTTATTAAATATTTGAAAAATAATTGAATTCTGGAAAGAAAATTTTTTTTCACAAAATTTTGCAAAATAGAATTCAACTATTTAAAAAAGATTGATAAAATTCATTCAAAATTCAATTATTTTCATAAATAATAAAACTCATCGAAGAATTTCAATTATTTTTAATACTATTTAAAATTAATAAATAGAAAAATAAAATTATTTTCACAAATAAAATTTTCCACAATAATTCAATTATTTTCATAAATAATACAATTGTTTTAAATGGATTCAATTATTTTAATAAATAATAAAATTCTTCACAATAATTAAATTATTTTCATAAATAATAAAAGTTATTGCAAATTTTCAATTATTTTTAATACAATTTTAATCAAGTTCCTGGAAAAATGTAATTATTCTTTTTAAACATTTTATTAAATCAATATAATTTAATTGTTTGAAAATTTGTTGATAAAATTCTTTATGAGAATTCAATTTTGAGAAACATTCAATTATTCAATAAATTATTTATTTGCATTTTATTTGCATTTAAATAATTGAATTCTCGTAAAATTTACTAATAGAAATTGATTTAAAAGTGAATTTCAGTCATAATTTTAGGTAACAATTGAATATTATAAAAACAATATAGCGTGAACTTTTAGAAATAATTGAATTTTAAAATTTATTTGTTTGAAAAAGTTTAATTGAATTTTTTATAAATATAAATAGATTTGGAAATTGTCAAAGAACTTTTTCGAAAATTATTAAAAATAATTAATTTAAAGAAGAATTTTAGTAAAAAATTCTTGAAAATAATAATTCAATTGAAATGATGTAAATAATTTTAAAGAATTTACAGTAATAATATTTTTATAATATAAAATATTTATTTTATCACTGAGACTTTAATTTTTCATTTTTGGTCCGTAATGTCAGTATTTTTAAATACTTTCACTGGTTCGAGCCCTACAATAGTTTTATGAAAAAATTTTTTTGTTTCAACAATAATAATCACAGACAAGTCTTATTTTATTACACTTTTTACAATTCTAAGAAAAAGCAGCATGAAAACTTGAATAATTTAATTTCCCTTTGAATTTTGAAACGACCTTAATATTTCTTTCAGGAATTTTCAAAATATAAAACTTAATATTAGGAATGTTGTTACAAAAACAAAGTCCACTTATAATTTTGTGTAATATTTTTATTTGGCTTACAATTTAGTTAAATAATACTGTGAGTTACAAACATAAATGAGTATTTTAAAATAAAATAAATGTGTAGAAGACGAAAATTTGATACAGGGGAACAGTGTCGAAACGCAAGAATTAATTTCGCAGTTAACATAGTTTCCTTTTTTTTTGTTTCATGAAAAGTCTCTTAAACTTTTTTAAAGCTATAATTAAAAACAAATTACATAACTGAAGGTAAGAAGGATTTTTAGAAGAATTTTTGGTATTCAGTTTTTTTTAAATAATAACTTAATAATATACCATTCTCTGGTAAACATTCATAAATAATAATAACAGTTATTCTGAAATTTCAACAATAAAGACTAAAATTAGATATTTTCATAAAGTTACGTTAATAATAATTGCACATAATTTTTATTTTCTATTCGTTGTTTTTTTCCTTTTAAAAAAATGAGAATTTTTTTGCTTTTCTTTAAAAGATCGTAATTTTTTTTGTTTCTTTAAAAATGAGTTTTTTTGTAAACTTAACATTTTTAAATAAATCCATTACTTTAGCAATAAACTAAAAATAAATTTTTTTTAAATATATATATAATTTTCTCTTTTTCGTTTAGTAATAAATATTTTTCTTTTTTGTTTAATAATAAATATTTAGCATTTTACAAATAAAATTTCATTTTCGTTCGTTATTTGTTCTTCCTCATGGAGGAAGCCTTATAATATTCTGGTATTTAATTTGAATTGATCAAGTGTTCTCATCAATTAATTAAATAATTATTTATATGAATAATCTGCCAAAGAGAAACGAAATAATTTGTAAATTGTAGAATTGTTGTTGTTAATTAACGAGTCCAAAGTTGCCACCGAGTCCTTGTTCTTTTCTTAGTCGTGTAAGCCTCAAGGTGTACCAATCCTGAAAAAATTAACAGAATGTTATTAGTTTCTGTTATTAATTTGGTTCAAAAAACCGATTAATTCACTATTATCAATTAAATATTTAATGAAATCAAATAATATTTATTGGAGTCAATTAAATTAGTTTAGTTCGTATTTGCATCAAATACTGAAATTATTGGTTCAAATACCATTTAATTGACTCGAATAAAAATTATTTGATTCAAGTAAATATTTTAATAATAATAGTCAACTTATCGGTTATTTAAATTAAATAAATTAAAATGATTTAAATGATTAAAACAGTTTCTTAAAAGTTTTGTTTATTATTCTAAATAATTATTTTCTATAATAAAATATTTTATTATATTCCAAAGTATAAATATTTTGGAATGACGTTCAAAAAAAAAAAAAAAAAAAAAGAATTTCACTTACATGAACGTCTTCTTCGGAGAGTCCAGTTTCGGCGGCGAGGAGAACAATGTCCGCGTGCATTGGAATTTTTGGCCATCTATTAAATTGCTCCAGAAGAACAGCTTCCTGCTCTAGAGTTAAGCGAATTATCTTCGGAACTCTCGAAGGAATTTCAGGTGCCACTGATCTCATCATGATTGCTGTAAAAAAATATATAAAATTATTTATTACTCTCAGTACGCTATATTTTAACTGAAATTGTTGCAAAAAAGAATTTTAATAAAAGTTACTTAAAATTATTTAACTTTTTATTATTTCTCTTAAAATAGAATTTTGAAGAAATTTTTATTTTCATATTTTTGTATAGGGTCATAATAAATTCTATAAATGTAGAAAATGGGAAGCATACGTTTAAAAATGTTTACAAGAATTTTATAAACAATTACAATTTTTGAATATTATGTGTCTTTTAAAAATTCAAAACAAATTATTACACATATGTAATTAAAATTTTAAGGAATGTGTGTTTTTTTTCTTAGATCTAGAGAAAAAATTTTTTATAAGAATCACAGGTTTACTTCGGTAAAAAATATTTATTAGAACATAAGAACTGTGTAATTTTAAAAAATGTTAAAAATAAAAAAATTTTGGAATTTTTTTTTTTGAGAAATTATAGCTACAGTTATGTATATCTATTTCTTTAACACCTAATTGAGTTACATTTGAACCTATAATTATAAAATAAGTTGTAAAAAATTCAAAGTTTCAAAAATATTGAATTTTATTTTTATAATATTACTGAAAACTTAATTTTTTACTTACTTTTTTAATTAAATAAAATTAGCAATTTTAATTTTAATTCAAATTTGTTTTCATAAAAATACTGGAAAAAATAAAATTTTTAGAATTCATAAAAAAATTCTGAATTTTTGTTTATTTTTTCCTTATAAACTATAAAATTATCTCTAATTCTAATACAAAACCTTCCAATTTTTCAAAAATAGATTGATGAAAAACTATCTTAAAATTATTACTTAGAAATTATTTAATGAACAACTTTATTTAAACATTTTAAAATTAATTGGATTTTAAAAAAATTGCTTTAACAATTTTCATAAATATATCAACTCTAAAAGGTTTTAATTTAAAATTTTAGAAAATGTCAATATTAAATGAATTTCATTAAAAATTTTAAAGAACTTAGATTTTTGAAAAATTTTAATAATATTCAACTTCTGAAATTAAATAATTTTTTAAATATATACCTGTGTATTTAATTAATTATTAAAAATAACGGATTTATAGAAGAATTTTAGTTAAAAACACTAAAAAAATTGAATTTTTGATAAGTTACAAATAATAAATTGCAGAAATTAAATTATTTTCGAAAGTATTAAAATTCTTCGCAAAAATTTAATTTTGTTTCAAAAATTTTAATAAAATTCTAGTCAAGATTTCCATTATTTACAAAAAATTTCCTCATTTCAATAATTTTCAATATCTACTATTTTAATAAAATTTGCCAAAAGAATTCAATTATTTAAAAAAAAATTTGATAAAATTCTACGCAAACATTTAATTTTTTGGGGCTGTCCATAAATACGTAAGATAATAACATAATTACGTAAGACATTTTTTTGGAAAATTTGACCCCCCCCCTCCCCCCCTCGTAAGATTTTTTACATAGGGGAGAGTAGGCTACATTGAACCAGCGTCAACAGTGAACCACTTCAATTTTCTGAGAAATGACTGAGTGAAATTTTTTCTTATTTAATATATAAGTTAGTTTTACTGAAACAAACTATGTCCAAAAATTTCGGGCACGTAGGTTTATTATTTACAAAGAAAAACTAAAAAAACTGTTTTTCACGTACAAAACAAAAAATTTGGTGGAATTATAATGACGTTTTTTTATTGAAATAGGAAGTTTTAAAAATTAGTAAACTTGCGATTTATTTCGCTTAGGGTGTCAACTTCAATATTCCGATGTGATAAAGAACTTTAAATCTTACACAAATTTATTATAAACAATTTTTGTTGTGAATGTCATGTGAATACAGTGAGTGCGGCATCATTGAACCACCCGAAAAAGCAAAGAATTTTCAATTTTAAGAGCGTTGTAAAGTTGTCTGCTCTACTAATTAGTAAGAAAAATACTGGAAGACATGCTTTCATCACAATTGTGAACGAGATAAACTCAAACTGTCACTTTACCTACCTAACCTGACATTAAAATTCATTAATCTCCTATATTAACAAGTAATAACAATTAAATAACAATTTTCTATTTTTTTGAGTGGAAAATAAGATTTTTTACAATGTGTAAGTGGAAATATTATTTTTGAAGTAAATTGTAGTGTTTTATTAGAGGTGGTTCAATGTAGACACACATCCTTCAAAATAAGAAAAGTGTGACTTGTTAGAAAAAAATTTAATTTAATTATTTAATCATAATAATTTGTGTTTGTAACGTGTGTATTAACTAAAGGAGTACTTCAGCTTAATTTTGATACAAAAACCTGATCGAAATTAGTAAAATTTAATTAGTTCTTGGACTTTATAAAATACCCGGTTCAATGTAGCCTACCCTCCCCTACATTAGCGCCATTTTTTCTATTGTTCGTAAGATCTTGCTGACCCCCCCTCCCCCCTAAATGTCTTACGTAATTTATGGACGGCCCCTTTTCAAAAGTAATAAAAATTTCAAAGGAATTCAATTATTTACAATTTTTTTTATAAATTTTTTCGCAATAATTCAATTATTTTGATAATTAATAAAATTTTGTTAAAAATTTAATTATATTGTCGTAAATAATAATACTCATCGCAGAATTTCAAGTATTTTTTAATTTTAATAAAATTTTAATCGAATTCCTCGAAAAATGTGATTATTTTTAAAAGTTTTATTAAAATTCGTCGAAAGAATTCAATTATTTAAAAATTTGTTAATAAAATTCTTCATGAGAATTGAGTTTTAAGAAACATTCAATGATTCAATAAATTATTTATTTTTGTATTTAAATAATTGAATAACTCGCATTGTATTTTCTAATAAAAATTGATTTAATAATTAATTTTATTTAAAATCTTAGATAATAATTGAATATATAGCAAGAATTTTCAGAAATAGATGAATTTTGAAAAGGTTTCAAATTAATATGCTTGAAAATTTGAATTTTTCATACTTTTAATTGACAATTTTGTAAAATTAATTTTTCTGAAAAATTTTAATTGAATTTTTGTTGAAATTATTGAAATTTCAATTTTCTATTATATATTTAATTAAACAATTTCGGAATAATCGAAATTTCGTAGTATTTAAATATAAACAAAAAATGAATTTGAAAATTCTCAAAAAACTTTTTCAATAATTATTAAAAATAATTGATTTAGAGAAGAATTTAAGTTTAAAATTCTAGAAAATAATAATTACTTTAAAGTGATGAAATTAATTTTTAAGAAGTTACATTAACTTGAATTTATACATTTTATTCTTTATTTGCATTAATCTTTTGCTCATACAGTTTCTAATTTATTTTTCTTTCTTATTTTTAATCTTTATTTTTCTTTCCTAAAATGTTTTGGTGCATTTTTTTAACAGATTTTTTTAAAGATTCGTTTACAAAGATTTAGAAACTAAAACATTTATTGTAATAAAAAAAGTCAATTTTTTTAATAGTTGGAAAATGAACTTCTTCTATCATTAGTTCTAACAAAAGTCGAATAATTTGAAAGAAAAAATTAAAAGGAAAAACTAAAATTGAGAATATTTATTTGCTAGAAAAATGGTAAGGCTTAAACTCGCATTTGTCCGATTTTTTAATTATTGGCATTATTTTTATTTCTAATAAGAAGTCGACAATAATAAACTCATAAAATTTTAGTTTATGAGACAAAATTCCTAATTTCCTAATGATTATATAAATTATATAAGAAATGTATCTAAAAAAATAATTGTTATAAGTGGTAAATAATGTAAGTACAGTGAGAATTTCTAGACAAAAGAATCGGTTTTTTTCAGTAAATAAAAATGAAAGACGTAAAAATTGAATAATTCCCTCTTGGAATTCCTATTAAACAAAAATAAGCTCATTTTTGCTATTCTTATATTTTCTAATTTTTACTTAAAATTATACACATTTCAAATTTTTTTACACGATTTATTTTGAATCTAATTTTTATTCAAAGAGTAAGAAATTTTTGAGTATATTTTTGTAAGAACAAGTTTTATATGAAAGAAAAGTCTGAAATTCGTTTAAATAATTTCAACATATAATTTTAGTTTGATCGAGAGAAATGAAAACAAAAATTTAATATTAGATCGACATTGACCTAAAGGTATTTGCATTTTTGGAACTGATTCAAAAAAAGAACGTCATCAACACTATGACGTAATATTTAAAGTGTGTATTAAACAGTAAATATTAGAAATTGTTTAAATACAAAAGTTGACTCATAATTGTTATGAAATTTGTATCTTAATTAAACATTTTAATTCAATTAATAGATTTATTTCTATAAATAGATATTTTTAAAAATCCATACCACGTCATGTGAAATTCATTTTTAGCTATTATTAAATTTCTTTTAAAAGACCTATTCAAATCTTATCGTCAATTCAAAATTGCATTAAATTTTAAAAGGTTCATTCCGGAAATAATCAAGATCAAGTTGAGCAACTTTTTTTTAAAGGTCCCTGAAATTAACATACGTTGTTTTAAAATAAATTTTATATATATATATGTATTCAAAAAAACTGTTTTGTTTTTTAAAACATTAATTGATTGCGTGACAAATCCGTGAAGTCCGCAACTCAAAAATCATAATCAAATTCTTAAAAACGATTCAATTATTTTCATAAATTATTCGAAATTCAATTATTTTCAATATCTGGTATTTTCATCAAATTTAGTAAAAGAATTCAATTATTTAAAAAAGAGTTCATAAAATTAATCCAAAATTCAATTTTTATAAATAATAAAATTTTCTCAGGAATTCAATTAATTTTTAATGTCATTTTCAAAAATAAAAATCGAGAAAATCAATTATTTAGCAAAATTTTTATACAATTCTTCACAATAATTCAATTACTTTCACTAATAATAATATTTTTCATGGAAATTCAATTTTAAAAAAAAATTTTTGATAAAATTCTAAGCAAGAATTCAATTATTTTCATAAATAATAAAAGTCAATGAAG